AAATCTTCGATGTCCGTTCATGGTACCAGTCAACCCTTTCTTTAATTTCATTGTCTTTTTCATCCACATATTCCTTATATGCCTTCTTCACTAACGCACTAGTCACACATGCTAACTCATCGTCAACATATGTTTTATCTGCTTTCTTTTCAACATCCTCTTTTGTTGCATAAGCTTTGTTAGCTCTTTCTTCTTCTTTTGCTATTGCATCGTCTACATACTCTTTGTCAGCTTTGTTGTCAACATCTGCTTTCAAAAGAAGTTCATCTATAGGTTTCTCGTTTAAGGTTCCTTTTGTTGGATTTATACAAACAGTATGGTTCTTGTTGTCTTGAAACAGAAACTCATCTGTCATTGGGTTTAATGTCAGTTTTAAGTTTCCTTCTTTCAATGACTCAGATATCTTAGAATAGTTTGAAAAGTTTGTTGTGTTCTTATTTAGAGCTTGTATAATGAGTTGTCGGTTGTGTTGTATTTCTCTCATAGACGCTGTTTCATTTGACATTTTTATTCTAGATAAAATATGCTTCCAATAGAAAAAGAAAATTCAAGAGTTGCTACAACTAAACCATTAGATGAACTTTTACTAATGTCGGTCAAAAGTTTGAGACAGAGACCGTAAAGTGAAGGCTATCGTTTTGACTACCCATTAAGATGGCTAAGAGACCCATCTGTCACAAAAGCTATTGGCTTTCGTAGAATGAAGTTTGTGTCTGTAGAAGATAAAAGTTTTCCATTTATTGTAAGGTTTCATATAGATTATATATCTGAAGGGAAACGAAAAATGTGGGAAGAAATTGAGCTAATACAAGTTGACCTTTCATCTTCTCTACAGACTGCGTTAAAAAATATAGAAGATAAATAAATTCATGTTATGCAAAATATGCTGATGAATATGCAAATACCGAGAGCACACTTTATGTGAGAATTGTATATGACAAACAAAATTCACAAGTGTCATTTCAAAATCTACGAAGACAATCCAAAGAAAGACGAACAAATATATACAGAATTCACTGCAATGTCATGGTATTATTTGCAAAGAATGTTAAACCAGAAAGTCGAACTTCCTTTAGCAAATATTTTACAGTCGATATGCAAGATGAACCATATTTATTTAAAGATGTTTTCGACCCAGCTGCTATTATTGTTCATGCTTCATTTTCTGGCGCCCAAAACTTTCTTATGCTTGGCAAATGACTTTTACGAAAAACCTACAAAGTTATACGAACCACCAAGTGGAAGTATTTCAGACTTTCAAGTATGGTTTACTACAGATGGAAGAAAAAGAATAATTCCATTATACCATGCGTTTTACTTAGAACTTAGTTTCATATACAACTACTATCGAACGGTAAAAATATAATTTTTTAATATACCGGTTGTGGTGTTGGATTTGGTTGCCAACTAGACTGTGGTGCAGGTTCAGGCTGTTGTATAACAGGAGCTTGCTCTTCTGGTTCAGGGTCTTTAGGTATATACCAACAAACTGACCTACCCTTTTACCAATATTTTGACACCGTTCCAAATTCCTCTTCCTACGGTTTTTATTCCATTCATATACCTCTTCCAACATTTCGAAAGAAGTTTCCTATCTTACTGAAGAAACCCATTTTACTATATGTAAAAATCTAATGTCCGCCTAGTCTCTTACGTTTCCTGTTGAGTTCCATAGCATTCTTTAACTGGAGCTCATACATTCTGTTTCTCCTCTGGTAGAAAACATTTCTGGGTCAACTCCTGTTTCGCGTTCATCTGCATAAAGTTGTTTATATCCCACTTCAGGGTTGTTATAAAACTCTTTCCATCTCATATTTGCATACCATGGTGGCAAACCTAAAGCCGTCATTTGACATGGCAGTTTGCATTTGTACATCTGTTGGCACTTGACCATAGTTTGCCATTGCAGTTTGTATTCTAACTTCATTTGGAATATTTCTGGGTTTGGTTGTCCAGGTTGCTGTGCATTCGCTAAGTTCTGTGCGTCCATTTAATATTAGAATAAAAATATCTCTTACGAGTACATATACTGAACATTTGCAGCATTGGTTCATCTTCATTTCTCTATTCTTTCTGCCACGTCAAATAAATAATGACACAATGGAAAAAACCTAAAACAAGTAGTCCTATTTCAAACCACATTTACTTACTAATAAAATTTCTTTGTTATGACACTTTCTCCGGTTTATAGGACCTCTCTCATATTCTATCTTGTCATATCTAAACTCATCAGTCATGTATGTCCTCTAACCATCTCATAACGGTTTCCAAACCACTTTTATCGGATGTAAAGTAAAAGCATGGACAGTTATGTAAAGTCTAAAGTTTCTAAAGTCTCTCAAAGTCCAGTCTACTTGGTATTGAAAATCCCATGTGTTATAGAACGGTGGGTCTACTATAAGAAAACATTTTCCTTGTCTTTATATTTTTCATACACTCTGTCCAATGACATCTCACAAACTCTATACCCTCAATATATTTTTCTATGTCCTCTTTGAAAACATTTGTATAGTTAAGATATAAAACTTTTGACATAAGTGTTTCAATGTCATGAACTCTTATAGCACCACTATATAATAGTCTAGCAGATATTACATCTATATACTGCTTTTCAAAACCTCTCTCACATATTTTTGTTATCTAATGGTATACGTTCCATCTTACCTATAGGTATCTTTTCTTTTAACTCTTTCAATATATTGTTTGTGTCTGGTATATGTTTGAGACGGTCCATATAGTTGTCGAAGTCATTGCATATAATCTTTGAGTCTGGGAATATTATATGACATAAATGGGATATATAGAAACTTCCACCGAACAAATCTACAAATGTTAGACCATTCGGTAGTTTCTTAAGTTCTCTCAATAGAATATCTTTACATCTACTCTTATTTCCAAAGAAGGGTAACGGTGGTTTTGTAAAATTCATTTTATATATATAATAAAAATGTTTTTACCTGAAAAAGTGACAGAAAAGTGACGAAACATTTACGAAGAAATCTTGACAAATTCAAGAGGGTAGAAAAGAGGTTAGAAAAGAGGTTATATCTAACCTTCTACCCTAAACATTATTTTTGTCTGATTTTACGAAGAAGTCTTGACAAAACATTTACGAAGAAGTCTTGACAAAACATTTACGAAGAAGTCTTGACAAAACATGAAAACATATATAATTTGTGAAAAGCTCCTGGAAGACCTCCGAATAAAAACTTCATTTATGTGGGCTAGAAGGCACGAAGTGCCTGGAAGCCCCATTCCCTTTTTTTTTTTTTTTTTTTTTTTTTTTTTTTTATTATATAAGGAATAAAAATTTTATAGTTTTAATCAAAAATAAAGGTGTACTAAATGCATACAAAACAAGGTATTTTTTACTCATCCAAAATATGTTAACAGTGCTATTTATATAATCAATATCCGAATTTCGAAATCATTTTGATGAAATCTTTATTTTAAAATTGAGTTGACTGTTAAAATCACCCGAGAAGAGGGATTATCTCAATGAAAAGTGCATAAAATAGCAAACGCACAAGATGCACTATGCAGCTTTATATTGTTATACAGGATGAACATATAAAATGTTTGGAAAACACTTACTTCGTTCTACAAATGTGTATCTCTTTATATCAAAGATTCTTCTCAAATTATTGAGAGACTTCTCTCAAAAAAGGAAAATTGATAACTAAAAAAATTATGGCATAACCTCTCGTTTTGCATAGATATATATTTACATGGTCACAGAGCTTATTTTCATTGTCAAAACTTAAAAATTTTTAGTGGACTATACCCTTAAATACGTTATTTATTTCAAGAAAAAAATACGTTATTTTTTTCTCATGAAAAAACATTCTTTCGAAAATATTACACTTCCAGATAGCTGTATTCAGTAAAATTGTATTAACCTAGAAACAAAACTCCATATTAATCCTTGTTGCATCATTTATGCAGCGTTTATTTATCTTCAAAAGTTTGATAACTTCGATAAAAAAAATTATTCTGCTTCCAAAAGATAACTCTACAATATAACGATGAACCCAGACTCAGGCTCAAAATTCAAAAATTACTGTTCAGAATATGCCAAAATATCATATTTTTTTTAAACAAATAATACTTTTATACTATTTAAAATTGGTGCCTTTTATGCTAGAGATTATGCTATTATGTTTCTAAGCTTTATAAAAGCATAATTTTAATATTTAGATGCAAAATCATAAAACCCGATCATTTTAAACATAAAACATATATGTTCGTTATTCAAACATCAAAGATAATAATATATTTAATAGTGAAATATACAAAATGTACAATAGGAAATTATACATTTTATTATTATATATATTTCTTCACCAATATCAACTGTAATCACGCCATATATTATTTATGATTTTTAATAACAATAGATACCATCAATATATAATTTTTAACGTATCTTGATTTGAAATGCCAATAATTTTATATTTTTTGATGTGTTTTCTGAATGACATAAATGTAGTTCAATGATCGAGCATTTTTCTCTATTTGCTCAAAAAATTAATTGATTTGGATTTGAGATTTTTATTGAAAGAATTTTGTTGTATATAATTAATTTCTTTGAATGATATTATTTAAGGATTACATTATAAATATTGTAAATAAATGATTTTTGACAGTCTTTTTATGACACTTTTTGATAAATAAAATCGACTGTTTACGACTATTCTTTTTGGAACATGCTAACGGTTTTTCAGCCAAATGACATCATTAATATGTATATATGGATTTTCCAAAGATTTTTTATTCTTACTATTATTACTATTGAATGAAAATTTGTTGATAGGTTCTGAATTTTGTTTGATACATTAAATTTAAAATTTTGACACCAATTTTCATACAAATTTTTTATAGGAAAAATATCAGTAAAATTTATTGGTCTATTCATGATAAATATTGATTGGATAAAATTTTGAAAAGCTTTCAATAAAGTTCTCAAATTTAAAATTCAATTTGAGTCAATCATAATTTAAATGAAGATCAAACTTATTGATCAACATGCAAATGAATATAATATTATTGCTATGAATAACTGGAAGAAACAGCAAATGATCAAAGCTATTATCAATAAAATTGATTCGAGGAAGACTGGTTTAATTTATATTGACAATATTTATCTTGATTCAGCTCTTACACAATTTCTTTTAGATGATGAACGCATTTATAATGTTCTTCAAAACCAAGAAGCGCTTTGGATTTACATTAAATATCGTTGTAACAGGTGCCGAAGCCATGGCGTTCACAAGCCAGTTATTTATCTTTATCCAAAAGAAGAATGTGAAATTAATGTAGGTCTTAATATTCAAGATGCAAAATTCACATTTATTTACCCACCATTTGATGATAATTATAATTGGACTGTTACAGGAAGACCATCAGGAGAAATCATTCATCATGGAAAAAGCTTAAGATATCTATTTTGGGAAGCTGATGGATATAATAATATCGATATTAGCAAAGGATTTTCACTTCACAAATCAGAAGTCATTTCATTTTTTGAAGAAAAATTGACACAATTCAAGTTAAATGATACTGAAATCTCTGATTTTATTACATATTGGGCACCAATAGTAATGAAACATGAATTTGTATTAGTTTCATTTCAATTTGAAACTTATGATCAGCAATTTCAGCTTCAGATAAGTCCAAAAACTGATAATTTAATAAGAGTTTTTGCGGTTTTTTATCCATTATCAGAAAAACTTAACGTTGAGCCTCAAGTCATCCCAAATTTCCAAAGAGACGGATTTACAGTAATTGAATGGGGTGGTTCAATACTTGAATAAATAAAGATTTATTAATTTAATAAAAAATAAGCTCTTTAGTCTCGGATACTTCATACTTTTTCAATATCCCTGAGATCAAAAATTTGATTATAACTGAGTTAAATTTTAGCATTTGTCCATCACAGTATTACCATTATAAAGGCTCTATGATATCCTATACTTCCATATCAGTGTTGGTCTCTATTGTATTTCAAATAGATCTATAATTTGAAAAAATTTCTCCATATTGAGTTGCAAAAGTAAAAAATTGAGGGTATTTATAGGGTTGCAAAAAAAAGTCAAGTTCATAGGTTGTAAAATAGGACTCAAATAAAGGAAAAAAATTCTCAAGTTTATGAAAATCTCTAACTTTATATTCTCTTTTGTGAATATAATTTCAAAAGTGAATCACTTTATACAGAGATGTTGAGATAACTCACACACACCATGATTTCACTTATGATTTTCTAGAAGAAATATTGCCCAAACCGACATGATTAAAAATAATATAAGGTCGATGAAAAATTGAGCGTTTTTTAAAAACCGCCGTTTGAGAGGAAAATTGAGAGCCCCGATGTATACTTTTTGACATTGTCAAAAACTTTGAAAGGAGCAAAAAAATTTTAGTGGCAGAAAGTTTACAAATGAATACTTTCTGACAAACAGACTCATTTCCGCACTTTTTTGGCGACCTTAATAATAATAATATATAATATTTTTTTAATAGTAAATAACACAAGTCTTAACAGTATTTCCTGTTCTAATTGCGCAAGTACTTTCACTCATATGCAATCCGAAAGCGTCAGGTATTACCATATTATCCTGTGCTTCAGTAGTTAATTCGTAATCTTCGAAAGAAATTGAGTACAAAGAGTTATTTGTCAATCCAACAGCGTAAGGCAATTGTCTGTGCACTTCAAACTGTTTCAGAGGCATCACTAATTCTCTCTGAGATATCATCTGCATCACTCTTATATCGAACATCTTTATATGTCCGTATTTAGTTGCCATAACTAAAGCATTTGGCATCGACGCACTGCAATTTGCTCCCAAGAAATCCAGTCCACCATCTTTAATCAATGCAATGGAACCTCTCATTCTTGAATCATATAAAGTGAAGTGTTCTTGAGAAACATAAAACAAACTTGTAAATGGTTTCAACCATTGCATACCGTTTGTTTGAGATCTCGGCACTTTTATATTATCTAACTTCTTCTGACTTTCTATATCATAAATGTGGACAAGTGAAGAACCACTTGAATGCAATATTTGGAATGCTTTGTCATTGTAATCAACAACAACTTTGTTACAAGAATCAGGAGGAGCCATCCAAAATGCGCATTCAGCATCTTTTGACTTGTTAAAGTTAATGATTGCGACTTGTGATCGATTAGAAATGGCCAACATCCTGGAATCATCAATGAAAGCTTGGTAATCAATTGTAGTTTTCATTGTACGTCGAGTTTCAGCCAAATGACCGAAATAAGGAGGAATTTTGTCAGTTTCCAAACCAGGTTTGAAATAATCGAAAATTTGTTTCGATGTCTGTCCTTGTATTGTTACTTGGCAATGTAACTGTCCTGTTTGGTCAGCACAACTCAAAAGACCTGATGGAGAGATTGATGGTCTTCCTTCAAGGTTGATTTCGTTGACAACCATCGCATTCGATGAAAAAGTCAACGGATTTAAGTTGGAATGACTTGGATGAGAGATATCACTGACACAAAAACGACTTAGATTACTTTGTAGTGGCTGTGCGTTCTTGGAATCAATGAATCTCTGTGCAAGATAAACAAGAAACTCGTTTAATCGCTCATTTACGCGTTTTGAAGGTTCGAACATCAAAATTTGAAGTTCGTGACCGAGCAAAGTAACAATTGGGTTCTTGGCCTTGTCATCTCTGAAGTCAGTGATGTATGTTTTGAGGGAATTAAGGAGTTCCGTTGAATCTTTGTTCAATGAATGACTTAATGCAACTAATGCTTCTTCTCTGACTAATGGATATGGATCATTAACAAGCAATATCAAGTCATAGATCAATGCACCGCGTAGTTCTGAACTACATTTGTCTGTACCGATGGTTGTTGTAATTCTAGAGACAATTGCGGCTCTGCATTGAGGACTTGGCTCGTTTTGTATTACATCAAGGGGCTGCTCAAGGCCTATACCCATTTTGGTCAGTAAAAGATGGGCCAAGGTTCTGATATTATGGTTTTTGTGGGAACTGTACTGTTCAAACAGTTTGTCCAGCTCATTCGACTTGAATAAATCAATTTTGCCGGGCGATTCTGCGTAAAGAAGTAAAATTGAAAGTGATGCAGCACATAAACTTTCATTTGTGCTTCTAACATGCTCTATCCAGAAGGAAATCCTGTTTTCGAAGGATTTGGAGAGACTTGGTGATAGAAGAACACAGTTAACAATGATAAAAGTGAAGTGCGCCAAGGTATCTGCGTCGCAATTCTTCAAAAGTGTTGTATTCTCAAGGAGTTGTGGGAGAAGAGGGAAACAACGGGTATTGAGGAACTGGATGGTCGTATCCGGAGATATTCCAAGGAAATTCGAACAGAAATAAACAGCTTTTTTGAAATGATTTGGAGAATTTAACAAATAAAGCATGAAAGGAAGTTCCATGGGGGCGTCACGGTTTTTCTTGGGGAACCAGAGCCAGCTTTCAAGACAATTAAGCTGTTCTTCGAGTAATTCGTTGATTGAAAAAACATTTCTTGGTTTTGGAAGCATTGCTTCTTTCAATGAGTACAAGGCTCGATCTACTTGCAAATAGAATGAATCCCAGAGGTCGTGCTGTGACATATCTGGTAATTCTGGGTAAGATGTTGGTAATGTTGATACAGTCTTCATCATTCTGACCGCGAATACGAAATTTGCAAATAACCTTGCGGTAAGAGTATCTTTTCTGAAGATTTTGTAGAATAATGGCTGGTCTTCGGCCAAAGTTTCAAAGGCCATTTGGTCAACGTAAGCTTCGAGAGCGTTTTCGAGTAGTTTGAGGATTTCTGAAGATACAGGTGAGTCGTTGAGGATATCAATCAAGCTCTGTATATCAATTTCAGATAAAAGTCCGGAATGTATATCAGAATAGCTCTGACTCTGCCATAAAATAGCAACTTTGGCAGGAGTAAGTAAACATGATGTGAACAAATCGCATGGAAGTTGTGGATTATATAATAATGATTCTTGTGTCGCAGCAAAAACAGTTAAATCTCTTCTTTTTTCAATAATTGTTTTCAGACAATCATCTGCGAAGCTGCAATCGAGAATGAAAATTGTGTCTTTTGGTATTTGTTCGCATAATTTACGAATATTAGGAGCATCTTGCTGAATTGGTGGCTGTTGTGTTGTCTGGATGACAATTGGAGTCTTTGTATTGCTGTCTGTCATGTATTTTAACTGACTTGCGCTTTTTGATAATTTCATTTTTTGCACCTGTTGGGTATCTACCTTTGGCGCTGGAGTAATTCGTGAGGATTTAGAAAGTGTTGGATCAAGAACGTGGTAAATTAGTTGGCTATCTGGGTTTGTCGCTTCAATTGGTAATGGATCTTCATTTCCATTGGAAACGGACTCAAATTCTATAGATAAATCGTCAATTAAGTACTTGTATTCGTGTTCGACACCAGCTTTGACTGTTTTAGTCGCCATTTTGATGTCTAAAGCTGAAAGATCATTCCAACAAAGAACTTTTGGTGGTAATGAGTCTTCATCTAACGAATATTGCTGCATAGTAGTGAAATCATCTGTGATTTTGCAGAAAACATGAACAGGCTTTTGAGTTAAAGAAATTTGAGGAATAATAATTTCTTTTTGCGGCCTAGTATTAACATATCTTTCAGGAAATGGTTTCCAGGCAGCAGAGGACTCTTGATCTATAAGACTATCCATATAACTTTTCAAGTTAAACTCATCATCCATTTTTCTGAAAAAAAAATCTAAAAAAAATCAAAAAGAACGAATATAAATTTTTTTAACATCTGTTGCATGTGCATGATATCCACAACATGCTAACAGAATAATATGTCTGTTCTGAGTTATAATTTCTTCAAATTTGGTTAGTTTTGTTATCTAGAGTGTGGCGATATGATTTCAAGTGTTTCTTATACGTTCACATGTTTATTTCAATTCATTTTATATCATACAAAGATATATTCACTATTTTTCTATATACATAAAGATCAAATATATGTTTATCATCCCAATTTGATAATATCCTCAAATGAGCATGCTGCTCCACATACAAATGGAGTACAACTTATATTGAAGGTGTATTGAACAAATATTAAATAAATTTGATAAAATCATAACATTCAAGCACCAAAGATTCACTATTTACTTAGGAATTACATGTATATATATGACTTACAAGGATCAATTCCATGGTTGTGATTCAAGAATTGATGTAAACTATTCAATATAATTTTTTTTAGTAAGAAAAAAAATTTTCAAATGAGTGAGGAAATAGAAAATCAGACAGTTCCTGAAGTAGAGAATGGCGAAGCTCAAACCACAACTGAAACTCCAGAGCAACCAAATGAACAACCAAAAGTAGAAAATTCTGAAGAACAAAATGTCGAAGCATCAGAAGAACCAAGAACTTTAGAAGAAACCAAATCAAATAACGATAGTGTCGATAACTTTGAAAAAGTAAATGATTTGTCAGCAGAAAATGAAGAAAATACCCAGCCATACATTGCCCAACATCATACTGATGAAAATACAGAAAATATTGAAGCTTCTTCAGACAGCGATGACTTAGATGATGAACCAGATGCAAATGCTTCAACTCCTGAAAATGCAGATGATCAGAATGACAATGACAAACCACTTCTTGATGATAGTGAAGAACCAGCCGAAGAAAATACAGAAAATTCGAACGAAAATACACCGTCACAAGCAGAAAATGCCGAATCTACAGAAAAAGAAGAGCAAAAAGAGGAACCCCAGCCTCAAGAAGCAGAAACCCAGGAAAACAAACAAGAAAATCCAGTAGAAGAACCAAAATCTGAAGAAAATACCAAACCAGAAAATGAAAATGAAGAACCGAAAGAAGAACAGCCATCAGAAGAAGCAGCAGCTGCTACAGAACCTACACCAGAAGAAAAACCAGCTGAAGAACAAACTCCAGAAAATAATTCTGAAGAAAATCAAGAACAGCAGCAGCAAAACGAAGAAACACCTAAAGAAGAACAAACTACAGAAAAATCTCCAAAGGAAGAACCACAAGATGAGGCAAAATCTGAAATTCAAAATCAAGAAGAAATTAAAAACGAAGAACCAGCCGAAACAGAAGAAAGCAAAGAACCAAAAGAAGATAAAACCCAAGAAACCCTTCAAGAAGAAGAAAAAACAGAAAATCAAGATCAAAATTCTTCTCCAAACGAAGAACAACCACAAACAGAAGAAGAAACAGCTCAACCACAAGAAGAATCTCCAAATCCAGAAGAAAATCCAGCTCCCGAATCTCAATCAACCGAAGATTCTCCAAAACAAGAAGAAGAAACACCAAAACAAGAAGAACCAACTGAAGAACCACAAAAACAAGAAGAAACAGTTGAAGAACCACAAAATTCAGAAGAATTAACTGAAGAGACACAAAAAGAAGGAGAATTAAATGAAGTTGGAGTTGCTGTTTCAGTGAATGTTGAAGTTCCAACAGAAGGAAACAAAGAAGAAGAGAAATCAGAGTTCAATTTCGAAAATGCAGAGCCACTTCCATCAGAACCAACAGAAGAACAAGGTTTCTCATTCGAGAGTGCAGAGAATCAAGAGTTTTCAGCAGAAGGAAGCCAAGAATTCAATTTCGGAGAGCTCCAACCAGTTCAAACCCGTTCTATTGAAGAAGGAGCAGAAACAGAAGGAAAATCAGAGATGGAATTCGGAAATGAACAGTTGCTTTCATTTGATAACCAAAATAATGAAAATACCTTTAATTTTGATAATCAAAACAATGAAAACACATTTAATTTTGATAATTCTGGAGAAGGATTCACTTTTTCAGAAAACACAAGTTTTAATTTTGACAATGCTGCAACTAATGATGGCTTCACATTCTCTGATAACAACAATGGTGGATTTACGTTTGTTGAAGGTGGAGACTCATTTAATTTCAGTTCTTCAACTGATAACAGTCAACAATTAACAAGATTTTTGCAGGCATTGGATTTCGTTGACAAATTTGAGACTCCTTCGAATGTTTTCGACACTCCTTCCCAACTTACTGATATTGACTCTGTTTTTAATTTGATCATTTCTCAATAAACATTTAAAACCTATCATTTTTTATTATTTTTATCTTATATAAACATGATTTTTTTATAAATTTTTAAATTTTTCCTATTTTGAAAAAGTGACAACTTTTAATGGAATTTCAACTTTTATATAAGAGTGCACTTACGCCCCTATGACGGGGCCTTCAATTCAGATATTTAAGGTTAAATTTTAAGGACCCTTCACGCCAGTTGTCAAAAATTTGAATTAAAGTCAGATGGGCGTAAGTGCAGCCATAAATAAGCCTAAATAATAAGCATACGAAGGAAAGTCTAGGTATAATGAGATGATCAAATGTTATCTTATTCAGTAGCACTCTGTTACGCAATCCTTTTTGATTTAATTCTTTTCATGCCTTAGATATGATAATTTAAAAGTTTTTTGAATTCTATTATCTTCGAAAAAGTGACATCAAAAAATGGTATATGAATATCAACTTTTTATTATGACTTAAATAAGATGTATACTAAGGATAGTCTTAGCATAATTTGATGCAGAATGTTAGCTTGTTCGACTATACTATCCAAGGTAATTCGTTTTATATTTTTTTATAATCTTAGATATGTTTTCTTGAAATTTTTTTATTTTTGAATTTTCTCTGTTTCGAAAAAGTGACACCAAACATCTTATGTGTATATCAACTTAAATAGCATGCAAGCAAAGAATCACCTTGGCATTATGGAACGATGGAATGTTTTCTTGTTCGGTAATGCTCTCCTGCATTAAATATTTTCTTATCTCTGATAAGATTTGATTATTATTTTTTATATTTGAATTTTATTCATATTATAGAGGACAGCATTCACGCTTTTTACCATATTTCTAATTGATTTTGAGAAAGCTTATGTTTATGTCACTTTTTAGATACGTTTTTTTTAGATACTGTAGAAAAATAAAGAAATGATAGATTTGACTGAAAGTGAAGCCACAGAAATTGATGATTTTGTCACAAGTCATGCTATGGTTTCTCCAGTAATTACTGCACAAAATCTTTGCAGTATAAATTCATGTCCAGATCAGCAAATGTATCGTGCAAGAATACAGTTTTTATTCCAGCTTGATTCATACGTTCAAAATGAACAAGGTGAAGTTGACGAAGTTGCCCGTGAAGTTCTAATTGATTTAGTTCATGATGCAATTTTATTTGCTTCTGATACACAAATTACATATTCCAAATCTATTGTTTTTCTCACATTGTATATTGCCATGCTCCAGCAAGTAATCTTTCAACCATACTATCAGCCAGAAAAGCTTTTAAAGAAATTTGAGCACGCATTGTTGATTCATTCAGTAGAACGCCCTCCATCTTCTTCTGGAATCTTCGATATATCTGATATTAAAATACTCCAAGAGTTCTTTATTACAAAATTCTTCAGAAATGCAAAAATGATTCAATATTGTTTTACAAAACGGCCAATCCTTTCTTTCCGTACATTATCACCAACCATGATAGAACTACCTCCTATGCCAGCTCTTTCTGAAATGGAGATGGATCAATCTACTTTATCTTCTTCAGCTCCAGAGTCAGCCAAGGAAACAGCCTCTGATGAACAAAAGCAGCCTACATCTCAACGTGATTCAGGAAGATCCTCTAAATCTCGTGATCGCAGTACTACATCTCCAAGAGGACAAGAATCTCAAGAACAACAACAGCAGAAACCTCCAGAACAACAAATTCCTCAGATCGAGCAAGAGGAAGTCAAAGATCGTGGACCACAAGTTCCTACTGACATTCTCAAAGAAACTCTTTCTAAAATGCACGAAAAATTCGTCGCAGAATTCGACGAAAAGGAAAGAGTTTTGATCGGAAAGATAAAGGAAATCGAAATCCATATGGGAGAAAGACAGAACGCTCCTGCTAAAAAGACAACTCGTAAGAAATAAAATGTATTTTAATTTTCATCAACTATTACTTATTGAAACTGTTTTTTCTTATCTTTTTTATAAGTATTCAATCGAATCCTTAATATTGAAATAAATTATCTCATTATCTGCATATTTATGAATAAAACATATGATGATAATAAGTGTTGATATTATTGAAGTCCTTTGGTTATAGTGCATTATATAAATAATACGTTTCTGAATCAGATATAAACAATTTTTAACAAATATCGCCTACAATTTAAATTTCTCGGCATGATACTCTCAATTTTCTGGATAGGTGCAAGCTTTGAATATGTAAGCAATGAAAACAAGTTTAAAAAAATCAACTTGGAATATAAACACATTTTAAGATTTTTTAACATCAACTGGGAATATAAACAAATTTTAAGATAAAAGTAGGCAAGCTTTGATCTGCAAAAAAAGAATATAAAATATGATTCGAAGATTTTTCCTTTCAAACCGAGAATTTTATATTTTCATGTTGTCTTTAACCTTATTATTGTTACTGAGTCATATAATATCTATAAATATCATTATTTTCATTGAAGAAAACTTTGAATTAAAAGTTATGTTTTGCAGAATCTTGGCGAATTTTGCTTTCATAAAACTTTATAATTTTGATCGGGCATATGTGACGAAGTATACTAGATGGGATTCTCATGAGTTTTGGAAAATTCACAATCTTAACGAGAAAGATATTTTGTCCATTGATCTTTGCGATACCAATTATAGATTCTATGTCATTTTCACCACGGACTTCTGGATAAATCTGTTTAGCTATTTTATTTGTTTCAAAATTTGATAGTTCAAGTGACTCTTTAGGGAGATATTGATTCTTATAGGGTGCAGTTACTTCTGATACCGAATGAGTTGTCCAGAAATTCGTTATTGCTTCATCATCATCGAAATTTTCTTTTGGTTCCCATGTATTAAAGGCAACAGAGTAGTATTTCCATTTAATTAAATACATCCATTCTCCGTTATCTTCTAGTCTTGCATCTAAAATCTTTTCAACTTCATAAGTTCGTTTTATCACTTCTTCCATTTAAAATTTAATGAAATTAGAGTGTAAATAATTAATCATATATACATTTATAGATAATTTTAGTCATATATGAATCTTCTATCAATTCAATTAGAAAGTTATATCTACAAGGCTGCCGTCCAAGTCCCAGCCACACACACAGAAGACTTAGGCAAGTATTTCACTAATATTTACAATTACTACAAGCAATACGGCTACAAGACAGTCGTTATGTGTGCATCATTTCGTAATACAGGCGAAATCACAGAATTCGCTGGCTGCGACCGCCTTACAATCCATCCATCCCTTCTTAAGGAACTCCAGGAGTCAAATAAAGAACTTCAAAGCAAGCTCGAGTGCAAGGGTGATATGCTTCCAGAACCAACGACAGAGGCTGAAACTCACTCAAGGCATTCGTAACTTTGCAGCTGACACTGAGAATAATTGTAAGACTAATTACAGAAAATCCAGATCAGATCGCAATTCATCAAGTAGATACAAATTCAACAAGCCAATAGATCTCATATGTTTCCAGATATATAGGTCAATTGAGAAAATTCAGAGCTCCGCATGATATTTACATATAATAATTTCTATCTTAAGATCCGAACCCGAAAATTATATATTCCTGTTTAGAGATTACATAGTATTTGTTAATAGCATTTGTGTCTGGACATCCTAAAAGAGTTATTTATTGATAGGAGGAAAAAAAGAATTTAATTTATGAGTCATACATAAGAATGAAAACTGAGAATAAAGAATAAGAAAGGAAATAGTTATTATGGGCAACTGTTCGGCATTGAAGATCGTAATCGCCGAGTGCATGAGGGAATATGCAAACTATCGAATTATCAAGATCTACACTATCTTTTATTCCGAATTTTTCTGATTGATAACGTGATGTTACTTTTATCGTGACATTTGTAGGCGTTAGATGTTTATCCTCTTCAATTCTGAAAAATATATCTTTATTGCTTGATGATACACAGCAAAAATCTATCCTACTTAATAAATCCAAGCCTCTCAAAGCTTTTTCATCAATAAATCTTACGGATGGCGGAAATCTAATGTATTTGAGAAGCAAACTAAATCCAAATGCATAATTCCCAATTGTTTGGAGTTTGTCACCTCCAAATTCAATACTTTTAAGGCCATATAAATCATATAAAGAATAAGTTTCCAACGTTTTGAGGCGGCTATGCTTCTCAAATGTGATATTTTCAATATGATAGCATCTGAAGAACGCACGGTTCTTAAGGATTTCAATATTATAGCCTATCTTTACAGATAATATTTTATTACAGTAGGCAAATGAACAAGTGCCTATTTCAACAACACGCCATAGTTTATCAGAGTATGTAGTAAAGCTTGGAATAGTTAAAATGTCAGAATAATTTATATTAACAGCGTTAGGAAATGTTTCGTTGAATACTCCAGTTCCAACGCGAACTTCTCTCCGGAATACATCAACTATTGAATATGTAATATTATCATATTGAAAAACTTCATTAACACTCATCGGTTAATGCATATTTATAGCCATGTTTTTTTATGACAAAAATATCTCAAGGCTTTTATCTCTTCAGTTGTTTGTCTAAAACATTTTTCGATCTGAAGTTCTAGGGCTCAAATTTGTTTTCCGAGAATTCCAATGAGGAAATAAGAACATTTGAATATTAACCAATAATTTACTATTGAGGATATGTTTAAAAGGATGATATGTATTTCATTTTATAGAACGGCATTTCACAATTCTTCATACTAGGGATTTTGCTATTTTTTTTTGAATTTTTAAAATTCAAGATCTAATATTGGAATTTTATCTGGTTTATATGAAACACTTAAAGTAATATCGACAAAATGATCAAATCAGAAAAAAATTATATTCTTCTGTGAAATATTAAGCTAAATAATCAAACCAGAAAAAATTTTATTTGGTTTATATGAAACACTTAAAGCATTGTATGTGAATTCTGTTTAAAAAAATCGAATAAATGGGTTTTACATAGAGTGCAAAAAAATGCGCAAAAACGATTATTCTGAATTCAATCTGTACATAATTTACTATTTTTTATGGTGTCACTTTTAGTTTATATCAAAATCCTCTCAATAAGATTTTTAAAATCCGAAACTAAAAATTATCCTCTAAATCGGCAACCCTAGTTGACTGCTATTAAAAGTCAAATCCATTAGTAAAGAATAGTAAATGAGATTTAAAAAGTGATCTATATAAGGTTGTCAAAACAAAGTGCGGAAATTAAAAACCGCAGTTGAGTACTTTCTGAGGGTCTGTTCGTCAGAAAGTATACATTTTTAAACTTTCTGACACTAAAAAATTTTTGGTCCTTTCAAAGTTTTTGACAATGTCAAAAAGTATACATTGAAGTTCTCAATTTTCCTCTCAAACGGAGGTTTTTTAAAAACGCTCAATTTTTCATCGACCTTAAATCCAAATTTTAAAATTAATCTGAAAAGGTTGTTTACCTGAAATGATTAATCAAATTAGAAAAAATGAATGTAATATATCAAATAATAGTTGTTTAAATAATAAATAAAATTATTCTGGAATAATAACATGCGCAAAAATTATAAGTTCACCATTGACTCTTCCTTCTGATTTGTATTTAACTGTAAATTTGAAGTCGCCAACTTTAGTGAAGCAGAGTTTGAAATCATAAATTGATGAATCGAGGTATTTCGTCAATTCTCCATCCCAAAGGATTCCATACTTGACATCGACGAAATTATCAATGTCTAATGTGCATTTCATAACTTTCATGTTTCCGAAATCGATTCTGAGATTAAGAGGTTTATCTTTCTCAATCATTTTACATTCTTCGCCATCAGCGATGAATGAATAAGTTGGAGTAGTTCTTATTTCATCCAACTCATTCAATATTTCCTGATCAGGCATGAATTTAAGAACGACATGACCTGTTCTTCCATCAATTGTTGTCCATTGTGTATGTGTATGGTCTTTGATGTAACAAACAATGTCTGCCAATCTTGTGACTTCTTTTCTTTCCTGTGAAGTCAATCTTCTTCCATAAAGTTCTTCATAATACGCGTTTGTTGCAACAATTTCTGCTGGTGTTGCAATTTTCTTTAAATCACGTAATTTCTGTCTTGAAACTGGCAACAAACATGTAATTGTTGTTCCAGGAGTTATAACATGTGTTTGTGGTTTCGCAGACAAGAAAATCGGATTATCAACTAAATCAGCATTGTCGTCAAATGATAAATCAGCGTTCATTACTTTTCTTGATTTATTAATTATCGACATTGCCAAGAAAATGATTTTCGTGATATCCGTTCCTGCTTCAACAGAAATCTGAACAGGAAGCAAAGAAACAGCTAAAACACAAGGAGCAACTTTAATAGGAACTCTTATTGTTTTGAAGGCTTCATATCCATTATCAGCAATGGAACAACTTGTTATGATTTCGATTGTTTCCATTGATTCTTCTGCTTCCAAAACGCATTTGATGCATTCCATTCTTCCTGGCTTCAAAGGAACTTTTGCATTTGCTGTTTCTCCATTGTAAGTAACTGTAACATTGGAAATACTCACTGATCCTGTGTTTGTTACCCATACATTGAAATGTATCATTTCTCCAATGTAAAATGAACGAGTAACTAAATCAGTTCTTACACAGAATTGACCAGTTTGCGGTGCCATGCTCACTTTCAATGGTTCTTCAAGTTTCAGAGTTGTCAATGAACATAAAATTGAGCAATATACTTTTTGTATAACGAAAGGATCCATTTTGACACTGCGAACATTCAAATCAATGGTCGTATTAGTCTGTGGACGCAAAATGGCCGTTCTTCTCTCGTATCTGATGTTAGATTGCTCAGGGAAAAAGATGACAGCTGGAAGAGATCCGCAATAAGGATTATAAATATCAATGGAGAACTTGAAGGTTCATTTATGACAGCGTATAATTCGGTTTTAGTGATCGATGACTTCTTAAAGCTGTTGTAAATGAAAAGAGAATCAGATGAATTCGATTTCTTCGGACCAGTTTTAGTAGCGCTTTGGCGGACACCGAAAAGATCACTTCCTGCATTGACATTTGTAATTCTAAAGCCAAAATCTGCTTCAATTGCGTTTGGAAGAGAAATTGCGGATAATTTCTTGAAGAAAGACTTCTGGATATGGCTTGGAAGTAATGTTTGTGCACGGGAAATCATATCAATAATGAGTTTGGCAAGGATATTTGGCGAAACTTGCTGCATTTTGGTTAATTCCAAAATAATTGGAGCAGCAATTTCAACAGCCATTTTATCTCCGCAGCCACCACGATTGACAAGTCTGATTGCTTCGATCTTGAAGTTTACATTGATTTCTGGGAAAACAGAAGCAAATTGATTTGCAAAATAAGCAGCTTTTGCATATTTGTTGCTTCTAACGAGTGCTTCTAATAAAGCTGTTGCTCTAAGATGCATATCAGAGTATTTCTTGTGTTGTTGAATAATTTCAAACATTCTCGGCGCGTATTGAGTAAATCCGAGTGAAACTGCTTGTATACCAGTATCTACCATTCTGTGAGTAAGTTTTGCTTTAACGGCATAACCTCCTGAAATTGAAAGACAAAAAAGAAAATCTGTCAATGGTTCGTATTCTGGCATCCAAGGAGCGTGATTCTCTCGAAGAATTTGTTCTGTTTGACTATTCCTGGGTTCTCTACTTCAAGTAAAGCAAGAATATAATAAATTGTAGAAGCAATTACATGATTTTCTTGGAGATCGACTTGTTTAATAATGTTTGAGATAATACGAACTGTATCTGCAGGGTTTGCGGACATACAGCATGGAGCAAGCTGAATTAAAAATGATTTGTTGGATTTTGAATGTTGATGAACTTGAAAATTGACAAAATCTGGATCAAATAGAAGGAGTTTAAATGCAACGGATGCTGTAAATTGAAGAATGTTTGATCTTAAACCTTTTGCCGAATAACTTCGAAAAAAAATGTGAGTATCTTCTGTGTGATATGACGTAAGATCTTCTGTTGCATTAAAATAGACGAATCCTGTATTTAAGCGTTTTGGAATCATCTTTGCTGTAGATTCTCTAACTTCTTGAATTTTTGAGTTGGCAGCGTAATCAATAAATACTAAAGTTGCGAAAGAGGAGAAAAATGGTACTGATGTATTGTTTCGAGTTAAAATTTGACAAAGATCTAAATATTCTGAGAGTTTTTTACAGAATATGAAACGAAATCTTACATTTGATGGTTTGTCAATACTATATTTTGTACATGAAGCAGAATAATGAGGTATTGAGTTAAAATCAATTATGGCGGGCTCATCATTCAAAGATTGAATAAAATTCATCTCATCATCAGTTACTTTTCCTGCGCAAAGCACGAGGACCGGCATGCCTAGTCGCAGATCAGTATAGATGGAACGGCGCATAAGATTTTATAAATTTGAGAAGATATAAAAAAAATTTATATCAATCATCAATTTTTGAATGTATCTTTCTATTAAAGAATTTTGTTGGTTTATTCTTAAAATCATTTAAAATTGAATAGATGTTTATCGTTGAATTCAATTGAATTTTTTTATCAATGATGATCTACATGTTCGGAGATTTTGGAGTGGCGGACATTTTCAAAAAAAAAGGGACACGCCCATAAAAAGCGGCAGGTCCGTAAAGCAGAGTGAGACAGGAAAAGTGACACGCCTGTAAGAGCGCCACTAGAGGTCATTAATATTCGCAGGTTCAAAAAAAGAGAAAGTGCCATTTGTTATGAATGAGGCCATGGTTGTGCGTGGTTGGCATTCATAACATTAAGGCGGCAGTGAACTCCAATGTCTGCCGCCTTGGCTGCCCTTTGCTCTCAGGAGAACTTTCGGAAGAATAACTATGTTATTCAGCCGAAAGTTCTCTTATTACAAGGCACTGCAGGGCGCTGCAGGCCATATACGCTAAGTTTGGTTATCATTTCCCAATCAGACCACCAAACTTGAGTTATAATAATCATATATCCCTGTGCATTGTAAATATTTTTATCAAAGGAATCGTATTAATGGCAATCCAGGCATCTTTAGAGCAAATGAAGAAACTGTAATTTATTATAATATCTTTTAAGAAATTCGATGTCGTCAAAAAAAGGAAATAAAATGTTTATAATATTTTATGCATTGGTGATGGTATAATTATGTTGTATTCAGATTCAATACCAAATCCCTGATCTTTTGATCATGTGTATCTGTATTTGCTCCTACAGAAATCAGATATTTAGCTACCTCACGATGATTGTTAAGTAATGCCATATGAAGTGGAGTCTATCCATTATTATTCTTTGCTTCTTTATCAGCTCCAACAGAGATAAGATATTTAACAACTTCAAGATGACCTTTATATGATGCATAAATGAGTGGAGTAGATCCACCATTATCCTTTGCTTCTTTATCAGCTCCAACAGAGATAAGATATTTAACAACTTCAAGATGACCTTTATATGATGCATAAATGAGTGGAGTAGATCCAAGATTATTCTTTGCTTCTTTATCAGCTCCAACAGAGATAAGATATTTAACAACTTCAAGATGACCTTTATATGATGCCCAAATGAGTGGAGTCCCTCCACCATTATCCTTTGCTTCTTTATCAGCTCCAACAGAGATAAGATATTTAACAACTTCAAGATGACCTTTATATGATGCATAAATGAGTGGAGTCCCTCCACCATTATCCTTTGTTTCTTTATCAGCACCAACAGAGATAAGATATTTAACAACTTCAAGATGACCTTTTTCTGATGCACAAATGAGTGGTGTATGTCCTTTTTCATTTCTTGTTTCTAATTTGCAGCCACATTCAATAAGATTTTTAACAAGTCTGGTATTTCCATTTAATGATGCTATATGTAGTATATTATTACCATTAATAATTTTCTCAGAGAGTCCTTCTTCGCATGCTTTTGAAATCATTTTTTGATTTCCACTTTCTGAAAGCTCATCAAAGAATTCATAGATACTTTCCATATCGTTTGATTTTTTGAGCTCTTCAATCTTAGAAAGTATTTGAATTGCTGTATGTTCTTCTCTACTGCTTTCAAGAAGATTTTGGATTCGATTTTCAAGAATGACAAATTCTTTTTCTTTTTGATCTAAAAAGTATATAAGTCCATCAAATATTCTTAAATCCATGTATTTTCTAACAGATTTAAGTGTCGAAATTGCATCTTGAAAATTGTTGATAGAAACGCTTGCATCATGAGTATATTCGTATAATTTACTTGCTTCAAATGTAGTTGATGATTGTTCAAGAAGTCGAATGAAGTTATTTGAGGTCAAATTTGCAAGTTTTAAGATGGTCTTGATGTCTTCTGGCTCGAAAACATGAAAGAGCTTCCCATCTTCAAGATAGTCTTCAATGTGAGCTGCTATGTATTCGAAATTTTGAGTGATGCCACTACTCATTTCGTAATTTTCAAAAATAAGTCGGAATTTTCCACTTTATGCAGATATTATCATAAATTCATATTAATATTGGATTACCAATTAATTAATTAATTGGTGAAAAATGTTGGTAAAATTTTATAAAAATTAAACTGAATAAATTTGTATGCAAAAAATAGATGTATAGATGATTACATCACGAACAAGCATTATAATATATTTTAAAATTCAAAAAAAATGAAAAATCATTTTTTAATCATGAATTTATACTTATTTGCTTGTGTAATAAACAGAAATTCATCAAAAGTGACAGCTCTCAATTTTTTGACATTTGTAAATTCTAAATTGAATGAGAAAAATGAAATAATACTAAGCATAATACAATATTCTAGATTTAATTATAATTAGGAAAAAGTTAGTTTTGAGAGTACTTTTCATAGGCATATAGAATGAAATCTTCTGAAAAATAATATCACATAAACTCATATTATTTTCTAATATATAACTATTTTATATAAAAATGATATTTATTTTAAATATATAAGATCCTTATATAAAATATAAATATTTTATCGTTTTATTTTCTTGTTTTAGAAATGTTTTTTATTGAAAAATCAATAAAACTAACTCCAAAATAAAATTTTTGATTTAAAGACACTATGATGACACCAGGCAAATCTTCCAAGACACCTATCGTCGGGACTCTAACAACCCTACTTGAAAATTAATAAAATGGAATATTTTTTGGAAAAATCGGAATCTATGGTTAATCGCAATAATACATTTTATTTATATTTTCATAAGAAAAGTTCATTCAAAGTCACATTTTGTATTTTAATGATTTCATTTCTTCCAGAAAAAACTATATAATCACGAAATATATATTTTTCATTCAATGCATATGCACTGCATCAACTAAGATACAGGATAGTTAAGAAAATTTTCTCGACGCCATAGGATGAATTGGAGGGTGTGAGATACTATTACATGCAATAGTACTCATACCCTCCAATTCCCAGCCAAAATGGCTAAAAACTATAGTCTGCGAGGTACATAGATAGAATCAGTACCTCACAGACTATAGTTTTGGATATGGCGTCGAGAAATTTTGGTGAAATGTCGTCGCATTTCACCAAAATTTTCTCGACGCCATAGGATGAATTGGAGGGTGTGAGATACTATTACATGCAATAGTACTCACACCCTCCAATTCCCAGCCAAAATGGCTAAAAATTCCTTTTTTTATGCTCAAAATGAGATATTAGAAAACTTTTTTATGCATCCAAATATAAATGTACCTCGCAGACCATAGGGTTTTTTAATGACAGATATTAGATAGCACTTTTCCTAAAATCCCTTTTCGGTATGAGATAGATTTAAGACTTGAGTTTATTTTTGATGCATAAAAAAGTGACAAAATGGAAAACATCCTAAATGAGATGATTGGAAAATGCGCAGGCGCTGCAATTTTCAGTCACACAGGTATTGTATGGTATACTACACCAGGTTTTTATACAAATACTAACGAATTCAGAAATTTTGCTAATGTATTCGTTCCAAATAGTAAATGCGTTTATGATGGAATTAGTTTTCAGAATCAAGTATACTTAACTCTTAGTTTATCTGATGATATTTACATTGGAACTACAAATACAAGTTTCGCTATTATGTGCAAATGCAAAGAATGCATAGTGTTTGCATATGATGAGAATAAAATTACTTTCGATAGACTAAAACAAGCTACAGTTCAATTAGCTCAAAAAATTAAAGAAAATAACCTTGATAGCCAAGATCTTGGTAAATAATAGAGATTTTTTACAGGCAATTAATATCATACATCATCTAACATGTAAATTTGTTTTTTATGACGCTCTTTTTTGTTTATGAATAAAAATATCTTTCAAATTTTATAGATTTTCTAATAATCTTATACTATTTTCGAAAGCATGAGACATTTGTTATATTCACAATAGTAATATAACTGCGGCATAAGGGATGACAACCTTATAAAGAATAGAATCATGCATTCGAAGTCATACATATGATTTTAGAAAAATTTTACCAAGAAAAAAAAATCTATGATTAATCTCAATAATACATTTTATTTATATTTTCATTAGAAAAGTTCATTCAAAATCACATTTTGTATTTTAATGATTTCATTTCTTCCAGAAAAAATTATATAATCACGAAATATATATTTTTCATTCAATGCATATGCACTGCATCAACTAAGATACAGGTTGGTTAAGAAAATTTTTTCATGGCCATGCTTGAAATTGAAAGAGTGTGTTCGGACCTTTCGTAATGACAACTGCTGCTAATGCTGATCGCGAAGCCGTGATCAAGATGATGCTTGCTGCTAAGGTTTACCTCGGCTCCACAAACCTCTCCTTCGGAATGAAGCCATACGTCTTCACATGCAGAAAGGATGGCACACACGTCATCAACCTCGCCATGACATACGAGAAGATCAAGCTTGCTGCTCGTATGATCTACGCAGTCGAAGAGCCAAAGGATGTTCTTGCCATTTCCACAAAGTCCTTCGGTACACGCGCTGTCCACAAATTCGCTGAATTCCTCGGCGCTAACTACGTTGAGCAGCGTTTCACACCAGGTCTCTTCACAAACTATTCCATCAAGAACTTCTGCGAACCACGCCTCATGATCGTCTGCGATCCAAACACAGACTCCCAGGCCGTTCACGAAGCCGCCTACGCTAACATCCCATGCATTGCTCTTTGCGATACAGATGCTCACCTCGACTACGTCGACTGCGTCATCCCATGCAACACAAAGAACAAAAACTCCATGGGTCTCGTCATGTGGCTCCTTACACGTGAAGTCCTCCGCCTCCGTGGTGCTCTTACACGCACACAGGAGTGGTCTGTCCTTCCAGATCTCTTCTTCTACCGTGATGCCGCTGATGAAGCCAAGATCGCTGAGGCTCTCGAGGCTGAAGGCGAAGAAACAGTCTCTGAAGAAGGCGCTATCATCAACGCCGCTGTTCCAAAGGCTGAAATCAAGGCTGGTGCCACAAACGAAGAATGGGAGAACAAGCAGGAGTGGGATGCCTAAACATCATACATCTTAATAAAATTATCTCTAAACATTATTTATTTTAATAAATTAAAATACAAAAATCTAAATTAATACTTTCGTCTACATTGATAAACGTTTTTGCTAATCTCTAAAAAATGTCTACTTATCATTAATTTTGACGGATTTAACAGATTTAATTTTTCAATTCAAGCCGAAAACAGTTAAATTGTTATCAAGATTGAATCGATAGGACAAAATATTATGACTTCAATAGCAGCTATCGTTTAGAAATCTATAATAAAAAATGAAGATTTTCCAAATATATTCATTTCTAAATTGATTGTCAAAACAGAAACGATAAACGTTATGATAAATCGATACCAATATACCATTTTATAAAAAATTCATATAATAATACAACATGATATAAAAATGTTTAAACAAAGAAATTCTAATAGAATAACAATAAAAATAATTACTTTCCTAGCAGCAATTGTCTTGTTTTCATGATTGAAGTTGCCTGAACTTCAGATCCGTGTCTTGGCCTTGCCGTGTTTTCATTTCTAACTTTAGTAGTTCTCTTCAAGTTCGTCATTCTAGGAATAATAGTACTATTCACGTTAACTGTGGCCATGTTTAGTTTAGGGAAGGGATTTTGTTTTACAGGCTGCATTCTTGAAGGAGTATCCAATCCTGGGTAAACAGCTGATGATATTTCGCCTGTTGCTGTTATCATTAATATCGCAGAAGAACTTGAAAATGCAGTTGTATAATTTGAAGCAGAAAATACAGTAATACACTTCCCATCGAACATTGATTCGTAACCATCTACAAATAAGTGTCCTCTGATTAATCCTTTCAATTTATTTTTTTCTAAAAAAGATTCAAGAGCTGTTTGATTAAAATAGTAACCATGCCCTCTCGGAGAGTTTAAATATTCGATTTTCTGTTCTGGCTTTGGATCACTCCAAACAATTCCTTCGACAATATCTGTTGCAGTAAGAATTGGCCTTCTGAGCATTTATATCTGTTCTACTGTCTTCAACGATGGAGAAATTCCACCATGTAAGCATAAATAATCGCCTACTTTCGCTGCTAGCGGAAGATAGGAAAATAATGTAAAGAATTTATTGTAAATTTCTTGATGCTGTATGTACATTTGTGCTAATTCTTCTGCAAAATCATTTTTTTTGCTTCATTGGTATAAATTCATGATTGCCTCTGATTATAAAAATATTATACGGAAAAAGAATTTTGAGAATAATAACTAATGTAACTAATTCTGTTGAATAAACTCCTCTATCGACGAAGTCTCCTAAAAATAAATAATTTGATTCAGGAGGAAGGCCATTTTTTTGAAAGATTCTATACAAATCAAATAAGTGACCGTGCAAATCTCCTACAATATGTACAGGGCCTTTTACATTCATGAGTATTGGATCATGAGCAACAACACTGACTCCATAATCGAGAATTTTAATCATGATATCTGAGCTAATAAAAGGAGGTTGATATTTTTGCTCACCGTTCGCATATACTTCTGCTGGATATGACATCAAGTTAATGTGGTCTTGATATAAAGATTGCAACAAGGGACCAAAAGAATTCATGATATTTTTTTTAAAAAAAATCAATCAAATAAAATTGTTAGAAAGCAAATTGAGAACTGTAATTAATTTTGCAAATTACCTCAGACTTTTCAGAGGATTGAGTTGCCACTCAATCCTCTGAAATAGTCTGTGGTAATTTTTAGTCTCTACACTATTTCAATATAAGCTCCATTTTTAAACAGTTTTTAAAAATCGAGCATTGAAAAGCGTGATGAGACTTTATTTTTGATTTTTGCACCACCATATTGTTTCAATTAATATAAAAATATTTTTGAAATTGATATAAAATTGTGAGGATTTTTTATCGTGTGATTTATCTGTTATAATATGTTATTCACATAATTTCATGAAATACACTTTTGAATTCTAATTGATTTGAATTTGTGAGGGAAACAAAATTTTGATAATATTATCATCACAATGTATTCTAGAGTAATGTAAAAACTTTAACAATTGTCACTTTTGGGAAAACCTCTTTGTTCACGCTCTTTTTTGAGAATGGACCGAAGATTTTTTGAATTTTAAATTTGAACTCCCTTCTTAATGGAAATAATGTATCATAAGCTGGTGAGTAGATCGATAAAGGTTTATATGAATCAATTAATTTAATCTTTGCATGACAGTAGCTGCCTGTATATAGATTGCATATCGTCATTGCAACAACATGCCTGTATATAGATAGTTTATATACTTTGTATCTTTGAATCGTGTATATCATAGGAATTTCATTGAATATTGTGTGAATTTTAAGAATTACGCAATTAAATTTAAATAACATTCACTATATCTGTTCTTACCCATTAACGAAAATCAATAAAACCCAGAAATTATAATTCACCTTTTTGAAATCTATATCATATGATGAATTTTATTGAAATATATAGTTAATAGCATTAGGTATGTATAAATCCTCATTAAAAATGGAAAATAAATGTTGGCAGAAATAAAAATAATAAATGAATCCACAAGCTCATCCTTTCATTGGTCAAAAGTTTATTGATCCTTATCTTCTTGCAAATGATGGTGAGTACTCTGTGGTAGTTAACAAATCACAAACAATTTATGTCTATCAAAACTCATTGATAATTCAAGAGAAGAAATTCCAAAATCGTATTCCCATTACAAAGCTTGCACTTAGAGCATTCGAAATGACCTTAGCTATTTTTGTCAATCAAACACCTGAAGTCATTTTATTACAAGATAATGTTTTTACTACACTTAGATTGCCAATTTTCATAAATGCAAAGCATGTAGGTATCAAAAATAGTGATATTGCCATTATTGGTGATGATCATAACGTTTATTCTTGGGATATAATGAATCATTTATGCAAATTAATATTTACTAGTCAGAATCCAATAGTAGCAATGCAAACATCTACAGATACAATATTTATTCTCACTGAAGAATCATTCGTTGTCGTTTCAGAAAAATATCCAATGTTATCAATTTCTTTACCAGCTTCAAAAGACGCAAAACTTGTATCATCAGCAGATTTAAGAGCGTTCTTTGTTATCGGAAAAGAGGATTATCTTACATTACTCGTTGATCCTCACGAAATTACAATGAGACCTCGAATTTCAATACCAGAGAACTGTATCAGCTTTGCTCCGTTAGGTTATAGTGGCAAGACTGTATACGGAATTTTCAAAGGCGACAATTCAAAAACAAAATTTAGAGTTCATAATTTTGGCAGAAACGAATGGGAGCCTCCACATGATTTCCCACCTGTATCCGTCATGTGTCCATCATTTAGCTACGCCATGGCCTGCGGGCCTCAGTTTTTGTTGGTAATTCATCAATTGCCAGAACTTATCGATAAAATTACTCAGCCAAAGGTCGACATTATCAATGCATTGTCGTCAATTGGTAATTCTAGCGAACGAGAAATCTTCGATGTTCTTTTATTAAATTTCGGTTTATTAAACCTTGGTGCAAAGCTAAAACCAGGTAACTCCCAATGCGATAGACTTGTTCCACTAGTTCTTGACGAACTCTGGCGTCGCCAGCTCTTTTCCCAATGGAGTTCAATCGCATTAAAGTGGCCTGAGCATTTAAGTACTCAGGAATCGGCCAAATGCGTCATGGAAATTTCCAGTAACAAAGGTGTCCCGTTAGTACCATTCGCAAAGATCCTGGAAGCCAGTGGAAACAAAAAAGAATCATTTTTATTATATCTTAAAGCAAAAGTGGCAAAAAATGTCCTCGAACTACTTCCCTTTGCCGAAGAAAACGCTACGAAACACATTCCTGAGCTTGTTGACATCGTAAGAGATTCATTCAAAAAAGGTGACGAAGATACGGCCAATAAGATCATAATGTTCTTTTGTGAGAATGATATAACAATTCCGCCGGAAGAAGTCCTCAGTTCTACGAAATTTGACTGGAAATTTATTAAAATTTATTATAAAACTTTTGACAGACCGCCACAATGCGTCATAGAAGCATATATTACAGGTCTTGCAATTAATGAGTCATCGAATCTCATGAATTTCATCCAAGGAAACCAGAAAATTGACAAAAGTTCAATTGCGCAAAAACTTCTAAGGTTAGGATGCTTAAACGAAGCTGCTTATTTAATGAAAATCGTAGACAAAGAGAAATACATTGAATTCATGATCTACAGAGAACAATGGGATGAATTAATTAATTTCCTCAAAAGTGACAGAGATTTAATTCCATTTTCCATCAAAATCGTTAGTTATGATTCATTGTATTTCAAAGAGTTTTGTTCACGTGCGACTGATTTAGAGATTGTCTACTCAGACATCATCAAACACATTCCTCCTGAATGTCCTGCAGCAAATCTCGCTGATGGATTCGCAATTTTGGCTTGCGAAACTGCTTCTTCAACTCATGTCCTCAAATCCAAAGTTAATTTGTCTAATGATGAAGTGTTCAACATCCTCAAAAGCAGAATTAAATTCTATAAGAATCCAAAAGTTGTTACTCTTTAAATTATATTTTTTATTGTTGTAAAAAATTATTTATTGTTGTCTAATTTTTTTTTATTTTCACACCCATCTGACATTCATTCTTTGAATTATGTTTTATATCATAATCATTGCATCCTTCTGACATTCATTCTGTGAAGGGATCCTATTTACTGTTTGCTAAATCTTTATCATGAAGGGATTTCACTGGGCGGGAAAATTGCAAGAGCTCAGAAAGGCAATTTTCCTGAAGTTGAATTACCGGCTCTTCATCCACAATTCGAATCATTTCATGTTCGAAGGGATTTTTTCCCCCAGAAAGACGATTAATGTCAATTGAATTCTAAACTGGTGGACAAAAGGCGTAAGTATTCAATTTTGATGAAATAAGAAAAAACTCTTTATAATCTTACAGATTAGATCATTATTTCTATGTAACTCATACCCCGTTCTATGAGTTGACTTTTGCTAAAGTTACACATTCGCAATAGAAAACTGTTTTTTATTCCATGGTATTATTTTGTTGTTACAACTATGAGGATAATGTAACATTACTCTCATAGATAAAACTCCTGTATAACCTTTTTTCAAATTTCAGACAATTAAATTCTTAACCTAAGAGGAAAATTTTCTGATAGATATAATCTGTTTTGCATGTTAATGTTAAATGTAAAATAAAAATAGCCGGGACAAGGCGTAAGTGGAATGTGATATGAAATTGTGAGAGCCTCATAGAATATTTTGACTACTTTCTCTCAATTTTAAATTTTACTTACGCCTTTTGTCCCGCAGTTTACTTTTTTTTACCATTCTCTCAACTTTTTTATTAAAACATTATGTATTCTATAATCGGGAAAATTAAATCTATTTGTATTTAGCCAGAATACTTTTGAGAAAATTTTTTGTGGTAAATTTATAAATTCAATAAAAATTGACACTTGCAAATTTCACTTCATTTTGTTTAGAGAAACAATGTTGGGTAAATTCATAACAAGATATTCATATGAAGAAGTAAATTTTGAATCTCTTCATATAGAAGGTTTTCAGTACAATACATTTTTAACTTTCAAAATTAAACAGGTTTTAATAAGTTCTTCAAGATCAGAAGTTGGATATATATTTCCAAACGAAAATAATGCAGCTATTTCAGATATACTTTTTGTTATTGGGGATAAACAAATTAGACCTCAACTTAGAAAATCAGAAGAAGCAGCAAAAGAATACCAGGAGTCAAAAGAAAAAGGATATTTGTCATTAATTGGATCTGATTCTTCAGGAAATGAAATTTATTTCTTTTTCGGAAATTTGCCGATTGGTACAAGAATTGAAATAAGTTATACCATCTCATATTTGGCAGAAATCAATAACAAAGGGTATTTCTTCAGATTTCCTATTGCTTCAAAAGATCAAATTGATTATAATACAACATTGCCAAATTCAATTTCATTTAAGATTAACATCAAAACAGATAAAAATATAAGTGAAATTGAAGGAAATGAAACCGCAATTATCAATTTAATTGATAATCATAACGCAATTGTTAATCTTGACGAATTTGAACCTGCAATTTTTGTCCAAACATTGATAAGCGACCAAGATAAAAGCACAGCTGTTTCAAGCGATGATTATATAGCAGTTTCTGCATATAAGGAATTTAGCACAAAATCAAATGGTTATGAATGCAAGGCAGATTATTTCTTTGTCATTGATTGTTCTGGTTCAATGGAAGGCAAAAGAATTCAAAAAGCAGTCAAATGCCTTCATCTTATGTTGCAATCTCTTCCTATGAAGTGCAGATTCTCAATATTTTGTTTTGGAACCGAATTCAAACAAATAATGCCAATTGCTGAATATAACAACGAAAATGTTTTGCTTGCTATGAATATGATTAAAAACATTCAAGCAGATATGTATGGAACAAATATATACGATCCATTGAAATGTATTTTCTCATTAGAAGGAATGACAAAGAAAATCTTCCTCTTAACAGATGGTGAGGTAAATAATGCTGAAGAAATTTTAAATTTAGCTGAAGAAAATAAAAAATTCGGAAACATTTACACTGTCGGAATTGGATCTGGTGCAGATCAATGTCTAATTAGAGATCTTGCTGAGATAACAGATGGAAAATGGACATATGTTTTGGATAATGAAAATTTCGACCAAAAATTAATTTCCTTATTATCTTCATCTCTTGAGGATAACTCAGTCGAAACGACAATACATGCAAATGAAACAATTGCTGAGACAATTCCATCACATCCATATCCTTTAAAGTCGAATGTCTCACAAAATTATTTCATTAAAGCACCATTTTGCGAAAATATATTGATCAGTGCCGAAGAGTTTGATCTGCTTATTCCTGTAATGAAAATCGAAGATGGAATTGGAATGAAAAGCATATTTACAAAGATGGTAATTCATGAGTATGAAAGATACTTGAAAACTCATAATGACGAAAAAATGAAACAAAAATGCATTGATCTTTCGATATCAACTGGAATACCTTGTAAATATACACATTACATTGGTTCTATTCCAGAATGCGTTGTAGATCTTGTTCAACAATTCTGGAAGGATCAAGAAGGAGTAATGTATAGTGAACTGCCAACTGATGAAGATTATGAAAGGATGCAAGATACATTCGTTAATGAACAACTGATTCAAGATGAAAAACTAAATCAAGTTCCAATAATTGGAGATTTTGTTGATGATCAAGATGAAATCGAAAAACAAAACATTGATGGATCATGGGATACATTTGATAAAATGGATTCAGAGATTAAAGGAAAGTATGGTGAAAAAGTTGCTGCTACTGTTGCAGCAATCATTTATATTTACATTAATCGCAAATCACAAATTGATGCGCTATCATTGGTTCTCAAGAAGGCTTATTTCTTCTTAAAGAAAGAAGTAAAGGACATTAACTGGGAAGAATTCATTAAAAATAAGCTTGAGAATCAAATTTAATAAGTAGATATAAAAACTAAAGATTTATTATTTTTGGTATATTATACAGTATTTAACTACTTATAATAAGGAAGTCAATTTGGAAAATTGTTTTCACTTTAGGAGAATATAATTTTCCATTTGGAAAATTTAAAAAGTGAGACGCGCAGGATTCGAACTTTTTTAAAAGTTGATTTAAATGAATTTTAGTGTGGAATATAAGGATAATATCATATTTGATATGAAATAACTGATTATTTTTCACCATTTTTCTATTAATTTCCTCAAATGTCAATTTTCCATATATTCAAGGTATGCTAATATGTATCATAATATATGCTAATACACGAATTTGCGTGGAATGTTGTCGTTGGATATTTCAAGATACAAGATTCAAAGTTTTTAAAAAAGTGACAAGAAATTTTATATAAAAATGTCGATTTTAGGAATTTTTGGTTCATCATCAGATACTGAGCAGGCAACTAAACTGATAAATGGGATCACTGCCTATAATGTTGACACTGGATGCAATAATTTAGGGAATTTATTAACGACATCTCAAGAAATTAATAGAAAAACTTTAATTCCATTATTACAGCATGCATTAAATTTCTTAAAATCAAATAACTCTGAAGCATCGTCAGCAATTTTCTATTTATTTATTCGTACCGAAAATAATTATCTAAAAGCAGGTGATTTAAAGAATATTATTATGTATACAAGTCAAAATCAAAGTGTTTACGATACGGTTGCATTTCCTACTCTTCTAGATCTATGTTCGCGCGTTGTAGTAACGAAAGAAGATTTATCTGAGTTAATAGAGAATACAATGGACTTAGTCTCGTTTGCGTCACATGCATCTAATCAATCAGTATTCAGATTCATATCAAAAGTTGTTTCTTTGGACCCATCTCTTCGAGTTCCTTTTGTTTTTGCAGGATTGATTGAACAAATTATACCATCAATCATATCAGATAAATCAGGAGCAAGGATGCTTGCTTCTCTCATATCAGATGTCCAGTCTCGTCAATATTTTTTCCAAATGGGACATATTCCTACATTAATAACAGCATTCTTCGATTCTTCGATGTCAACACATATAAGAGGTGTTTTTAGAGCACTTCTATCACCAGATGACCTTACAAATCTTCATTCTTTACAATCATTTTTATTTAGTCGAGATTTTCCACGCCAATTACTATTTAATATATTCCACGGTGATATATCAGATGAATCAGCCTCAAATGCAGCAATAGTTTTAGGAGATTGCCTTCAATATTATCCTTTGCAAAATATTCCATTCAAAATGTCTGAATTTCTAGAAACAGCAGCGGCAAAACCTTCTCTAAGGATCCCCCTACTCTATGTCTTGGAATCTTTCGCTATTGCTAATAAAGATTTGATGCCAAGTCCATTAGAAATTCTGAAGTTTACAAAACTTCACTCTGACATTTTTTTCGAATTATTTTGTATTTACTTGTGTCATTCGCCAGACACTAAATACAGCGAAATAACATTTTCCCAGTACGAAAACCTCACAGGAAGGCAACTATCCCAAGCAATCATCACTGCAACAGAATTTCATTGCGAATTTCCAAATTCTGAGGTTCTTTCTCAGAGTTTGGAGAATGAGTGTGTTGCACAACTTGCTTCCATCAACAGATTAGTCACAAGAAAGTTTAATGAAAAAGATCGAAATTTATTAGTCCAAAATGCCGTTAATTTCTTCTCAATGCAACATGAAATTAACTCTGGTACATACTTACCCTTGTTTTTCCCTCGGGAGTTCATAGACTGGGGAAAATCAGAATTTTCCGAAATTGGACTGTCAAGATGGATGCACAGCGCCACGCAATATGAAATATCTGATGTAACAGATGTTTACGACCGAATTCCTGATAGTTCTTCAGTAACTGTCATTGAAATGTCGAAAATGACAAATGAAGTCAGGAAAAACAACGAAAAATTGCGAAAAACTAAAGAAAGACTCATCAAAGAGGCTGAAGAATCTGAAATGATGAGAGGTGAAGCAGAACTCGATTTAATCGAAGCAAAATGTCGTGCAAAGTTATAACTTTATAAATTGTTATGTTTTTTTTTTGTTTATCTCCATAAGCGACATTCGCACCATACAAAATAAGAAATTCAGCAGTTTCTTTACTATTAAATCATGCTGCAGTATGAAGTGGTTTGTCCATTATTAGTTTTATCATTGACATTCACTCCAAGTGAAAGGAAGTATTCGATAAGGGATGGAAAATTAAACTTCGATGAATCAACAAAGCATTTATTAATATCATTAATTTGATCAATATAAACGAAATGAAATTTGATCAATTTTTTAACACCAATCCAAAACTGGAAATCACCATTCTAAAACGATTGATTTTTTGTAGAGTTACTAATTTGGATGGTGATTTCCAGTTTTGGATTTTAAAAATCTTCCTGCCGACTAAAAGGATACGTGATAATTATTGTTTTTCATGTAAATCGAAAGATGTAACATATTTAATTCGATGATATATCATTTTGTTAACAGACTTTTGTTTATGCTAATGAGAATCACATTATGGCATTGAATTAATGTTAGAACTGAAATCTTTTGTTTGGGAAAAAAAAGTAGCGGCGGAAGGATTTGAACCTTCGACTTCAGCTGTGAACAGTACTGTATATCGAAAGAAAAGTCCGATGCAGTAAATTATACTGACTCTCTACCATTGAGATACACCGCTATTGCATAATTCTTATTATATAATATTATATAATATATATTTGGCACTTTTTGAAATCCATATTATTCTACTCTGAAAAATTTAATTATGTTTTTCAAAGGTCATTCAACGATTTCCAGACAAGTTATCTCACTTTTATGTGATACGTGTTGCATAGCCTTACATGCGACACAGTTCATCCAATGTTATGTAGAGTATATTTAGAAACTTCTGTATAGATATGTCATTTTCAGTAAACAAAGAATATCTGTCCACTTTAATACCAAAGATAAGTTGTATGAATTTATAAAGATCAGATAAAATATCAAATTTAATTTGGTAGAAGATACCTTTTTCTTTTCAAGCAACAAAAGCAAGATAAAAGTGACGAAATTTTAAAAAGATAGTTAAAGTTTTAATAAACAAAAGTAATAATATAAAAGATTATTCACTAAGATGTTGAAGAGCGATTTCCTTCTCGTGGAAAAGATCGTTCTCTGTGAAGTTAAGCTTCTCACGGAGCCAATCATTAACTTTGAAACCTTCAACAACGTGAATCTTTCCTTCCTTGTCAACATTGCAAGGGAATGAGAAGACAACACCTGGCTTGATTCCGTATGGGTTATCTTCTGGCACTGGGATACCCATAGAAAGAACTTCTCCTGGAGCTGTTCCGAAGAGCCAAGCCTTCATATGCTGGATAGAAGCCTTTGTTGGGGAAGCAGCACTTGTGAAACCACGATGTTCGAGGATGTCCCAAGCACGGTGTCCGATCTTCTTGAAGAAAGTATCGAAGACGTAATCGTGATCAAGAACATCAATAACTTTCTGAGTCTTTCCGTCCTTTGTGAATGTAGCCTGTGTAAGGTCAGCAACCATTGATTCTCCGTGGTTGCCCCATACAATGATATCATGGACATCATGGATATCAACTCCTAATTTGGAGGCAACTTCGTAGTAAGCGCGGTTATGATCAAGCATACTGAGGGATGAGAAGTTCTCTGGTTTGAGGTTCTTTGCATGAAGCATTGCGATTTCGCAGTTTGTGTTATCTGGATTTCCGATGACAAGAACTTTGACTGTTGGTTTGGCCCATTTTGATAAGTATTCGCCTGTATTCTTGAAGATAACACTGTTTGAGCTGATGAGGTCTGCTCTGACTTGGCCTGGCTTGAGTGGCATTGAAGCAACTAAAAATGCGCAATCAATATCCTTGAAAGCAGCTTCTGGTTCTGTAGTTGCGATGTAGCCAGCAAGATGTGGGAATGCACAGTCTTCTAACTCCATTGTGAGAGCGGTAAGTCTGTTCATGGCTGGTGGAATGTCGAAAAGATGTAAAACAACTGGACGATCACCATAAAGTTCGCCTCCTGCAATCCAATGGGAGAGGATATAGCCGATTTGACCTGCAGCACCGGTAATGAGTACATGAGCTGGTTCACTCATTTCTAAAAATGAGTTGAAATTTATCCCTCAGAATTCATGGCCTACCAAGCATACAAAAATTCTGAGGTCTTTCAATCTTGTATTGTTCGAAAACCAATTGAAAATGTTACATTCCCCATCAAAATTTTTGGTTTAAATTTTGTGATTTTAGCTATCCATTTAGAGATAAACAATTATCCAAACGACGATTATTATTAAGTGATCACAAAGCTATTGATTTTTTTGAATAATCGGTTAATAACTAACAAAATATAATCTAATGGAATCATAATGTTAATGCACTCATAAAAAGATATCCATGAAATTTCAGAATAAATTCAAATGGCTTTCGGTTTCTCCATAATGGTCCAGGCCCGAATTTTTATAGATAATCATAAAAATGTATTTCTGTACAAGTGAGATAGATTTTGATCTCCGTTTTGAGAATTTTGAATCAAATATTTCCCTATTATGATCAAAAGAAGAAAAATCATGAATCATTTGAATACCAATCATTATATGTCAAGGGAATTAAGCTTTCGTAGTGATTTTATGAGTATTTTATTTTCATTTTAATAATGCTAATTTAGATCATCTACTTTAGAGATATCATCACATACTTTGTTACAGATCTCACCCACGTTGTGCTTTGTAGTGCCAATGTGAGATTAAATTTTAAATGTGAGAAAATTCTGCTAAATAACGGATAAGGTTCATTTTTATGCTTAAATGAATATATTTTTTGTTGAAAAAAGGGATTTTTAGTTTCATATTTAAGTTTTATCTGAGGTATTCTTTACCTATTCGAATATACAGGTTCAAAACAAGATGTTATTCTAAATCCATCGAAATACCTTATCCACGTATGGGGTGCCCAAGGCGGATACAACAAGAACAGCAGCTCTGGTCTTGGAGCATATACAGAAGCAATATTCAAAGTCCAGCAGACGACCAAACTGAACATTTATGTTGGAAGTCAAGGTGTATGTGACACAAAGAAACTTTCCCCTAATTTTTATCAAGCCGGAATTAATTTTGTTGGATTTGATAACAAACCATCATGCACCGGTGGTGGATCGACATTCATCAGTGTGAATGATAATGAGTCAGATATTTTGATTGTCGCTGGCTCCGGCGGTGGAGTTGGACACTGGAATAATACTGAAAGTCCCGGAGGTTATGGCGGTTTTATCGGGCAGGCTGGAGGAGGAAAACAAGATCAGGGCGGTTCTGGAGCTCATTTTGGAGATCCAGCAGCTGGATGTGAATCATATCCTGGGATCCGTTTGGGAGGTGGTGAAGCGAATGGATGCTCAGGAGGATCGTCAGGAGGTGGAGGGGGTGGCTATTATGGCGGAGGAGGAGGTGTAGATGTCTCAGGTGGTGGTGGTGGAAGTAGCTTTGCAAGAAATGATTTAATATCTGTCACTTTTTATAATGGAAGTGAAACCTTCAAATCTCCATCAGGAACTCCCGAGAAAGGTCACCATGGCCATGGCATCATAATAATTCAACGCCTCCTTCTTTGTTCTAACATGAAATCTTACTTCAATGTCAACTTTTCATCATTTTTGCTTTTTATTTTGTTTGATGTGAAATAAAAGTTTTCATTTAAAAAAAGATATTTTATCATAAAATTAGACAACATTTCATGTACTTATGTGGGCACACAATTTTGGCTGTTTCAATGCAATCATTTGAAATTGCATAGAAAAATGGTGTGTTTCCATAATTATCCTTTGCTTTGACATTTGCTCCATATGAAAGTAGAAGTTCGGCTGTTTCAGTGCAATCAGATTTTGCTGCAATATGGAGAGGTGTCATACCAAACACATCTTTTGCATTGACATGTGCTCCATTCTCTAAAAGAGTCTTTGCTGTTTCAGTGCAGTTATTTCTTGTTGCTTCATGAAGAAGGTGAGTTTCAAACTCATCTATTGCATTAACCAATGCCCCATGAGAGATTAGGAGTTCTGCTATTTCGGTGTTATTTTTTCCGGCAGCATAAGAAAGAGGAGAATAAGAATTATTAACATTGGCACCATGTAATATAAGAATCTCTACTATTTTTTTACATTCACATTGGACTGCTTCTCTGAAACAATCATTAATGAATGTGGAATAAATTTGCCCTAAAACACAACGGGAAAGAAAATATTCACATAGCAAAGGGAACTGAAATTTCATTGATTTTATGACTGCATCCATATTCATGTTCTTATCAGCAATATAAATTAAGAATGCTTGGATGTTGTTGAATTTAATACAATCTTCTAGATTGATTTTTAATTTATATTCATTCATCAAAAAGCTGACAAAATCAGTGTTATGAGAAATGATAGCATATTTCATGCATTCTTCTTTTGGTTTTCTGTATTTCAAACATTCACTCATGATGTATGGCTTTCCACTCAAAAATGAATAACAAAGACACTGATCTGTAATACGGAATTTAAATTCATCGCGAAGATATTTGAAGCAACCTACAGCTCCATAATAACAACATAATTCGAGTAATGAATTTGAGTTATTTGGATAAATTTCACTATCGAATCTTTGTTTCATATTGAACCCTTCACGAAGAGTGAAGGATATAAATAACTCTTTGTCATCATCCATTATTGCACTGTGTATTGAGTTTTCTTCGTGAATGTCCAAGATATTGCTTTTTGATGGAAATTCATCAACTTTGACTCGATTTGTAGGAATATATGTAAAGAACTTACATATGAGGTTTGCAATGAATCTTTCTTCCAACGATGGATTAAATGATGAGCCCTGTATTTTATAAAAATAGTACTCTTGTAATGAATAATAGCTCGCAACATTATACTCGTAACAAAACTTTTTGAAAATCAAATAATATGATTTCAAGTACTTTATATTGTATTTGGCAGCAGTACGTATTATTTCTGGGAACTGGCGTGGCAGAAACATTTTTGTATCAATGAATTGTTTTTTAATTCCCTTGTAAATATCCTCAATTTCATCTTGTTCTTTGGTATTTAGCCTATACAATGCCTGAAATGCTTTGTAATACTCTTTGCTCAGTTCATTTAGCTCATTATAGGAGATATCAAACATAGATTAATGATTTCGACAATCTTTCAAAAATCAACTAACTTCAATCGATTCATTTAACGAGTTTATATGCATATTTGCAAATTATTTCAACAATAAAGACGATGATGCTCTCTGGCAGTTATTATATGAATTTTGTCAGAAAAAATCTACTCAGTTTCTCCTCATTTAATATGGTGTTAAAATTTATCCATTCTTGACATATTTTGATTTATTAAGTTCAAAAAGCTTAAATCACTTACATTTCAAATTTTCAGCGATGCCGATAACACAAAATATGTCACATCCCATATAGTAATGTACTTCATCATGTATAAAATTTGGTGTAAAGAGTTTTGTCAAATTACAACATTTATTGATACTTAGATCCTCTTGAAGATACTGAAATCGGCATGCAGGCAATGATACAGAATCTGGAAAGTCGAATGCGTTTCATTGGATTGATGAGAAAACAGCTTTTTCATCAAATTAATAAAACATACTTCTGTTATTTGAGCATGCGTTACAGGATCATTAATGATAAGATTAATAGGTGTAAAACAGTGAGAAAGGAAAACTGTTGAAAGATAACAGCTGATAATGTTTGCATGAATGCGAATAAGTAAGGGGAGATATCTTTTGTACTATACCTACTAATGTATATGGAAGTTAATAGTAGTTTTAATCTTTGTCAAATTATGAACTTTACAAATTCAATAATTAAAAAAAAATGGGTAGGTGTTGTTATTTAGATGTAAATATTGCGGGCATTTCCATTTCGTTTATGGTCACGGTTGTAATAATGTGTATTTCCTACTCAATGACAATAGATGAACAAATTATTGAATGTAAATCTTGCCCAAAATGGGAGAATGTTTCTCAATGGTCCGAATTTCAAGATAACATTATTACTGCGATAAATAGATCAAAGTCTCGAGTCCTTATTTCAGCTCCAGGAAAAACTTTATCAATAAACAAAAAATTCTTCGATGCATTGAAAAATTCACAAAAGAACAAAGCGTATGTATCAATAATTGTCTCAGAAAACACTACTAAAGAAATTTTAACAAAAAATAATTTTGATAATATTACGTTGTATCCAAATTTACGGTATGACTGTATTATCATAGATAACAGAGCGTTTATGTATGCACCTATTTTCATTGATAATTACACAACAAAAGGAACTCTCTCATATTTGAAGATCAACGACTGTTATACAGCAATTGATGATCTTGTCAACTTCTTCAACTATCAATGGAGAGAAATGAATTTAGAAACCAACACAAAAAGTGAAATTTTACCATTATCACTTATGGCAAAGACTTCAAGTAAATTGCCATTATCGATCAATGAAACAAACGAATCTCTCTACTTTTTCCATAATTCTCCGCTTGGAGGAGAAGTTGGAAGGCTAAATACTTCGATAATAATTCCATCTTTCTTCGATCCAAGTAACACGACATATCTATTCTTAGGTTCGATACCAACGAATGATATTTCAACAACAGACATCTCATTTTATTCAAAATACAAACAAATTTTGATGAGAAACCGCTACATTCTATTTTTAATGCCATTTACGAACAATACAGAGATTCTTGACAATATACTTCCATTGCGAGCATTCAGAAATGCAGAAATACGCTTTTATTCAAAAGAACACAAAGGACCAAATTATATGATCACAGACAACAACGTAATCATATTTTCACATGCGCTTAATGGTTATGCAGTTTCTCATTATGTTGGATTGCATTTTACAACAAATTCGGAAGAATTCAGGAATATTTCGATGAAAAGATTTAACAATGTATGGGAAACTGTATCAAACTCAACTGATATTATATAAATTTGTCATAATTTTTGTTTGTTATCAATGTAAAAAACTTTGATTTAAAAAACTAACTTTTGTTTACAACTATTCAATTTTTTGACACTTAAGGGGGTGAATTGCCCATATTGTACTAATTTTATACGCATATTTTAGACCTTCTCATTTTGGAAGCATAATTTAAGTGCTACTAAACTATTCCCAAAATATCGGGTCTAAAATCTATGTTGTTAGGATCAAAGATTTTATTACCACGATATCTATCCATCTAAAAAGATTTATGGACAACTTAAATGCTATATAGATATTTACTTAAGTGTACAAATGCTATATTTTTGAATGCTCTTACAAAATCGATATATCTTTATTTTAGTTGCAAAAAAGTATAGCAGCTATATTAAGTACTCTATAGTGATTTATGATTACTTTTCCCGACCAAAAGTCTTAACTTTTGACCTAATAAAATTTTGATATAAAGCTTTGGTGTCAAAAAATGATAAAAATAATGAATTCTAATAAAATCTATAGATAGTTTATGAACAAAATATTTACATGATCTCTTTGGCAGCGTATTTTCTTATAATAATTTGCGTTTCTTGCTGAGTTTTATCCATAGCGCCCTTTGACCAATCATTACCAACAGCATAAGCAACAATTCCATCTGCAATTGAAGCTAATGCTGTAACATGAACGTCTTTTCCGAGATCAATGTTATTATTAGTTTTTGCAACACTGTTAAATACGTAGAAACATAATTTTCCGTCTGTACCACCAGAAATTCCGAATCCTCTCTGTGTAATTGCAACAGCATTTACAGCAAAGGCTTGATTTCCATTTCTGTGGGCTTCAAATATCTTACTATTATGTCCAACGATCATTTCAACAGCTCCGTATGTAGAACCTGCGAGAACTTGAATGTTTCCTGGCTGAGGATTAATAGCCAAGCATGTGTATAATCCTTGCCTCTTTTCTTTGGAATCTATGTGCTCTTGAGTATCGGGTTTGTTAAGATCTACCTTGAAAATCTTTTGTTTGTCTGTAGCAACGAAAACTGAATTTTCATAAGAAGCCATAGCTGTTGGCTTGCCTTGTATCTTAATTTCCTTCTTAGATTGTTTTGATGTGGCATTCCAAATTTGAAGACAGCCATCAGCAGAACAAGCAACAACAACTTTTTGGGCCGCGTAATAGCCAATTCCGACAACACGCTCTTTATGATTGCCAAGAGGGACTACTTGCTTTGAAGATATTGTCAATGACCTGATTTCACCACTCGATGTCGCAAAATATATAATTTCGCCCGTTTCATTAAAGCAAAGACGCATAATAGCAACGTTTGACTCTGCATGAGAAACTATATTTGTGGCTTTGATTTCATTAACTTCATAAACGTTAAGAGAGCCATCCCAAGAACCAGCCGCGAGAAGTTTCCTTCCTTTTGCATCTATAGCTTGCATGCATGAGACTGTATCTTTTGGATTAACATCAGCTACAGCAAAAGTGGCTTGTGATGGCGCACCAGTGGCAGCATGCGCAATCATAGAAAATTTACAATTTTTTGTGTTATTACAGGCGCGATGTATGTTAAAAATGCAATAAAAGTGTGGTAATATTACAAGAGATCATTTTGTTAAATTTTTATGACGAACAGCATTTGAATCAAAAATAATCGTATGATTGATAATTTTTATAAGATTTTTTTGCCCTATTAAGGGTGCACACGAGAGAATCATGTAAACTTCAGAATTTAGAACCTTATTTTTAGGCATTATCTTGGCTACCTATTTAGGCTCGAAAAGCAAAACATATCAAAAAATACAACTTGACTCCATTCTGACCCTTTCATGGAGGTAGTTTTTATCCGCTAGTATTTTCCCTTTGAATCTCTTTACAATTCGAAATCAAATTCAAAACTCAGTAGACGAAAGGAAGAATCGACTTACTACGGTTGTAATACGAATAAATACATATATTTAATTATTTTTATTTACATAATAATTGTTTGAAGCTCATATTCCAACAAATTTTTAAATAAAAGCATTAAAATGTTGAAAATGTTCATATATTTTAATAGGGTTTTGGCACTTTATTGAGGAATTACTACATACATAGTCGAACTGAACTTGATATTTTGAAATTTAAATTATTTATCAAAATTAAAATTTAACTTGAAATTTATAATTATTTAGTCATATTTTGCATAATTCTAAGTAGATTTTGTAAAAAATCAAGAAAGAAAAATTTTAACGTGCTTTATTTTTTCTTTTTTATAATAATACATATTATTATATAATTAACATATTCATAATGTTTCACCCTTTCAAAAATATAATCCTCCTCCTCTCAAATAAACGTACATACGGGTGGCCTCTTTTTTCAAAAAATTAAAATTTGAAATTTTGGGCTCAAATATTAGAGATTTTTTCAACCTTCAACGATATATGTTGTCTATATCAGACCTCCTTTCTTTTTGATACTTAACATTGTTCCTAAATCTTAGCCGTTAAGGCTGTTCTGAAAATATTTTTTTTCGAAAAAATTCGAAAAAAATTCTTAAAATTCAAAAATCCCTTAATTCCTGAGGATTTTGGAAAAAAGTTTTTACATGAACATGTGTATATTATATGAAGTATATTGATAAGGTAAAAATCAAATTTTATTGCATATTCATCGAGAAAATAAACTAACGAATCCCTCAAAATTGAGAGGGTAATCATCCTCCTCTCAAATAAACGTACATACGGGTGCACCCTTAATTATTATTTACTAATGATAACAAAAATTAAAAGATTATTCGTACGTTTCTGCAATGTATGCGTGAATATAACATTAAACGCTTTGCAAATTAGTTGAAACTCGGCTTTGAATTAGTCATTATGTTGCATATCTGGTATTTAGTTCGTAATTAATAAAAATGAATGTTTTCTTTAATAGTTGGTAAATAATCCACGAGTTATTCTGGTAAAAAGTTTTTTTTGATATACGTTAAATGTACGTTAATTTTTTTTAAATTAATCAAAAATTTTAATGTTTTCAAAAGATCCCCTTACTCAAGCATGCATAGGAGGAAATCTCGAACGTATTAAATCTCTTATAGAGAATAGTGATTATAAACAAGTAGAATCTTTAGATCAGCCACTCATTTGGGCATCAAGAAAAGGTCATCTTGAAGTTGTTAATTATCTTATCTCTGTTGGAGCTGATAAAGAAGCAAAGAATAATGGTGGATGGACTCCACTCATTTGGGCATCAGCAAAAGGTCATCTTGAAGTTGTTGAATATCTTATCTCTGTTGGAGCTGATAAAGAAGCAAAGAATAATGGTGGATCTACTCCACTCCTTTGGGCATCAGATAATGGTCATCTTGAAGTTGTTGAATATCTTATCTCTGTTGGAGCTGATAAAGATGCAAAGAATAATTATGGAGATACTCCACTCTTTTGTGCATCAGATAATGGTCATCTTGAATTTGTTAAATATCTTATCTCTGTTGGAGCTGATAAAGAAGCAAAGAATAATAATGGATGGACTCCACTCATTCGTGCATCAAAAAGAGGTCGTCTTGATGTTGTTAAATATCTTAATTCGAACTGGTAAGTCAAAAGTGACAAGATTTTCTTCGAAGTAAGTCTGAATTGCCAACATTTCATTTTACATATATTAAAGGCTATATTTAATCAATAGAATTTTTTAGAAGAAATAGACTCATTATACTATGTAATGTTTCCGTTTCGAACTCTGCTCCTCAATGCTGAGTAAAGCCCTTTCAAATTGAATAAGAGACTTTATGGAGGAAAATTAATTATCATCACAACTCATAGAGAACAGGGGCGAGCATCATAAGAAAAATTTTTCGAAAAATAGGGGGTGTTAGTATACTCAACCCCCTCATTAATTATCGTTTCTAGAGGAATAGTCACAGAGGCCTTTTTTCAGGTAACCTTTAAGAAGTTTCCGAAAGAGTTTATGCTCATATAACCTCATTTCCAGGTAAATAGGGGGTATTGTTCTACTAAAAGTTTAGTTACATACTGGCCTCGTTTCCTAAGAAACTTAATCAAGAGGCTATCTCAATAAGCCTTGACTAACAGGAATAGGATAAAGGAATATGCAATACTGAACTACCGTAATCTTAAAGCAATAACCGATAGACGCAAGCTCATCACTACTTGTTTGGTTGTTCAACGAATCTTTTTATATCACAGTACACTACACGTATCTCATACCTCCATACAATAGATGATTTACTCATAATTACATTTAAAACCCAAAAGTCGACATTTTTTTGAAAATATTATTCAGATTCAACGAAAACTTTCATTCATGATACATGCATATAAAATCTTCCAAGATATAATTACTTATCTTAACAAAAAATATCATTCTTTTTCTATATTTTGAACAAATTTATGCAACCATCATGATTTTCGTCCAGTAATCAAGTCTCATACCTCCATCTATATATGAAATCATATTTTCTCCGTAGAATGCTACATTTTTATATTTTTTCTAAATTTTAATTTTTTTACTTCTTTTTAATTTCCTTTTATTAATAGCACACTATCCTCCAAGATGGATTTTCAATTTTTGCATCACAACTACATTTCTACATATTTTTTGCATAATAATTCTTATCCTTCTTTAAAATCCACTAGACTAGTGCTCACATTAGTTTTATATATTTGAAAATACTTATAGCTTCTTAAATTCGCAATTGAATCTTATCTTTTGTCTGGTTATTCTCCAAATACAATTCATAATACTCTTTGAATATTCTGATAAGCCATTCTCAGTTTACACATAGTAAACCAAATTCGACCACAATCATCTTTCAATATGTAATATTTATGGTAATACTTAAATTTTTATCTCATGAAACTAACTTTATTATGAAAGGCATATTTCAGATTTAATTTCACATCAAATTAATGCAAAATGTATCTTATTGAAAATACATACTTCAAGATATTTCATGAAATTTGATTTCCTTCAAAAATTAGAATAATTATTTCAAATCAAACAAGCAAAATCATAAAGTAACAATATTGGTTTATTTGGCTCTGAAAATAATTGCAAATATTGATTTAATAAACAATTTAATATATTATTTTTCGAGCAAAGAGAATATTATTCAAGAAAATTAATAAATTCGACATATACTATTAATTTTCACATATTTTTGAATGTATGATCTCAACGCAACAATAATATTGGATAAAAAATTCGGTATGTAATGGTTTTACTTGAAAAGCGTATGGTTATTGTTTAAGTTAATGTAAATAATACAAACAGAGTTACTTATAATGACGCTTGAACGAAAGAATAATGCTGCATTAAAGTAGGTAGGTCAAAGAACCTAAAAGCATGTTTCGGTAATGTTGATTAATTATTCCACAAAAGTGATGGTAAATCTTATTCCTGTTGGTCAAGGCTTATTGAGATAGCCTCTTGATTAAGTTTCTTAGGAAACGAGGCCAGTATGTAACTAAACTTTTAGTAGAACAATACCCCCTATTTACCTGGAAATGAGGTTATATGAGCATAAACTCTTTCGGAAACTTCTTAAAGGTTACCTGAAAAAAGGCCTCTGTGACTATTCCTCTAGAAACGATAATTAATGAGGGGGTTGAGTATACTAACACCCCCTATTTTTCGAAAAATTTTTCTTATGATACTCGCCCCCAACTTATTATTAGTTACATTACATGGTTTGATAATCTGTCACACACTAATTTTCTTCTTCATTTAATGTAACAATTTACAATTTCCGATAGAATTTTTTTAATGTTTCTTTCTTTCTTTTATTCATCGTTACTCCATACATGTCTTAATGAAGAAGTTGTTGGTAGTAACGTTGCCATCATATCCTCCAGCAGGGAATCTCTTTCTTTAGGTTTTCGGCTAATAAATCTTGGATATAACGTTAGTTTTGGCAACGGCAACCATCCGCGCTATATCATTACAGAATTAGAAGAATGTCCAATAAATTATATAAAAACAAATGATTTATTTGACTATCAAATTTCAAAATCAAAGTCATATTCAAGTAGATTAACGATAAATTCTCATAATATTTATTATTTCATATGGGGTGCCTTGTTATTGATATTACTCTACATAAGTACGATGAAATACAAAGTTGTTCTTTATAGATGTAAAGATTTCAAATTATTAGTTACAAATAAGATATACAGCTATTCAGCGATGAAAAATGGACCATATAAATCATACGATAATGAGTTTTCTGACTTCAAAAGCCGAGTAATTCTTCCTGCATCGAAACATTACTCAGTTATCTTAAAATGGCGCACCAAATGCCTCCCATTATCCACAATAGGCCAATTCGAGATTCCTTTTTCTTGCTACTTCATTACAGACGAGATAGAGAAAATTCAAGAATTTCCCGCGATTATCAATACAGCAACAGTTCCAGGCAATTGTACGTTCAATGTTACTAATACGCAGATCACCTGTTCACCAGTAGTTACCTCCCAGATCCTTCACAGCTTTTCAAAACTTGCTTCTTCGATTTATTTACTTTTAGGTTTTATGACTCGAACATTCTGCAAATGCAGCAGTATTGAAGAGCTGAGGAACCTTTTTGGCTGGGTTTCCCATGCAATTGACTGTCAATCTTCAATGTTTCTCATATTAACAGGCGACAGAGAGAATATTATACATATCAATGGAGACGATGATGATCAAAAGGCTCTACGATCAATAATACCTAACTTATGTCCTCCTAATGACCAGATTTTCACTGATTTTTCAGTTACAACATTAAACGATAAAAGAGTTTACGGTGGCGGTGTAAAAATAGCCGATTCTATCGTCATTACGGCTTATTTACGTCATTGTAACACCTCTGTAATAAGAGGACCAGAAAGAGCCATGACGCAGCTCCTGGCATTGTTTTTCGGAGGCGCTGTTGCCAAATTCATAAGATCTCCCGCAAGAAGGTTCGACGAATACAAGGAAAAGCTGATTCCGAACGAATCTCCTGATGATAGGTTCATTATTAACTACGACAAGTTCATTATATCGGAAAGTATTGGTACTGTGTTCAATGACGATGGATCCCCGCTATTCTCACAGCATTCTGATCGCTCTTTACGCTTAATCAGATTAATTCCAAAGGGAATCCTCGAAAGAAGGAAGAGTTGCTTCCTGAAAGTATCTCACTTGACGTACATGATATCGTTCTTTGAACACGGTGGCTACATTCTGCAGTTACAAAACGAAAATGATAATATTAAGTTTACTGCGAACTTTGGAATGGATTGCCTCATATGGGTCATCGCACAGCGTCGTAAGGAAACCCTATTTTCATCCCTCGGTATCGATTTCTGGAAATTTGTCGAAAAATTATCCAGTGGAGATTCAAAGAACGTCGAAGCAGCAGTAACGCATGTTCTCCAGTACAAAGACTCTTCACTTACCGCTGAATTCCATTACTGCGGAAGACATTATCAGGTAAATGTGAGTTGTACATGCGCGGATTTGCTTCGTATTGTAGCGTTATCGACAGATGATAGGAGTAAGCGCGAACAAGAAGTCAGAGATATCGAGAAGAGTGTTTCCATTGCATTATCAACCGGAAGAGTTTCAATTTGGAGTTACGACGACACAGAGAACCCCGTAAGGGTATACAGTCAATGGCCAGACCCAAGAGCCACTTCCATTGCAAACAGATCAACAATTATGTTCAATATCCCTATGGAATACCAAGAAAATGTTTTTTCGGCATTCAAAACTTGCATCGCCGATAAAAAACCGTTTTCGATCGATGCTCCTGTAATGATGAATACAGTCAGATGGTTCTCAATCCGAGGCATTCGGAGTGGTCCAACGAGTATTTTACTGTTAATGATCGATATCACAGCCACAAAGAATGCAGAAGAGCATTTGAGAATAGAGAAAGCCAGATTCGTTGACGCTGCAACTGCGAAAACAAGGTTTTTGGCAAACATGTCACACGAGATCCGAAATCCTCTGAATGGAATGTCCGGATTACTTGAACTACTGATGTCAACTGATGTAGTTCAGAAGTATAGTGATAACATGGAGATCCTTTCGGATAGTTTTCAGTCTCTTCTTGAATTATTAAATGATATTTTGGATTTGGCCAAAATTGAACAGAACCAGATGCATCCTTCGTTCACAGACTTCGATCCATTGCAGGTACTCGCGGATTCTCTCAACAAACAGATGAAACAAGCTGCAAAGAACGGAATATTATTTAATCCAATAATTGATCCGAAACTTGCAACAGTTGTCCATGGAGATCCACATATATTCGCTCGTGTTGCCTCAAATTTGGTCTCAAACGCTGTCAAATTCACTAAAAAAGGGTCAATAACAATTTCAGTGTCATCTGACGATAACCTTAAACTTATCATCGCCGATACCGGTATCGGCATTTCGCATGATTTCCAACAGAAAATTTTCGGAATTTTCCTGCAGGGAGATAACTCGATCACGAGGTCTTACGGTGGAATAGGTGTCGGTTTGGCTCTCGTAAATAAAATGCTTCAATTGATAAATGGTCACATCACTTTGAAAAGTGACACTGGCAGAGGAACCACTTTTACTATCACTTTTCCATATGAAAGTGAACTTATACCATTTATTCCTAGTACATTGAAAAACAAGCAACATCATCAAATATTGAATTTGGCCGGCCAAAGAGTCTTTCAAATTTGTCAGCCACATTGTGAATTTTTCTGTCATGCTTTGATTAGTGATGTAGAATTGATTAATGAGCATTTGAGTCTTATTTTGATAGAAAACAAAGAAGAATGTATCGAACAAGTGAAAGAAATCATGAAAAAGTATCCTGACGTACAAATTGCGAATGTTTTGGGTCCTGAAATTCCTCAGACCGTTTTAAATAACGTTATAAATGTCAGACAATGGATTAAAGATTTGCCAAGGCTGTTCTCTGATTTGATTTGGAGAAAGAAGATAATGAAAAAGAAAATGTCAATAGGAAACCATTTGAAAGTTCTTTTGGCTGAAGATAACGCAACAAATCAATTAGTTATGAGAAAAGTTTTCGAAAAATTGGCAACAGACGCTGTAATTGTTGATAACGGTGCTGATGCTTTGAAAATGCTGAATAATGAGAGATTTGATGTTGTAATACTCGACCAACACATGCCTGTAATGGATGGACCTTCTTGCGCTAGAGCAATAAGAGAATCTGGTGAAAAATGGTCAAAAATCCCAATTGTTGCTTTGACTGCAAGTCACTCGAAAGAGGACGAAAACGCGTGTTTGTCTGCTGGAATGGACTCTTTCTTGACAAAGCCAATAACTATTAGAATGATTCAATCTCTTATAGAGAAATATGAAAAATAATTTTTTATTTTTATTTTTTTATTTGTTTTATAAATTTTTTTCGTGTTTATTAATAATAATGATAATAGAGAGAATAGAATCTTGTCCCACATACTATGACTTTTGTCAGGGACGCGAATTCTATTGCATATGATAACTTTTTTTTAACATTATATAGAAAATCTAATTTTGCACTTATCACTTTCTGACATGCTATGAAAAAATTAAAATATCTTTATTTTACTAGCTGAAAAGTATAGCAATCATATTAGGTACTATATGGTGATTTATATTTACACCCTCCTGACCAAAATTATTAACTCTTGACCTTAGAATATAGGGATTGAAAGTTTGTGTGTCAAAAAAATTGAGAGAATCTCAGAATTTTTCTATTTCTTTAAGGGTACACTTACGCCCCTATGACGGGACCTTCAATTTAGATGTTTAAGGTAAGTTTGAAGCCAGAAAAATAAACACTTGAAAAATGGTTTTCCTTCTAGTGCAAAAAATGGACAATTTCAATTTTACATAATCATTTTTTTGCGAATTTTTGAGCTCCATGAAAGCCCATTACAAACTAAAAAAAAAAAAAAAAAAAAAAAAAAGGTAGTGGGGCTTCCAGGCACTTCGTGCCTTCTAGCCCTGATGTTGATGTTTAGAATATGAGAGAGGTCCTATAAACCGGAGAAAGTGTCATATAAACATCTGTCATTTTACTCAGAATTTTCATGAAATTTACACCAAAAATATATTTTAGGGTAGAAGGGTATATCTAACCTCTTTTCTAACCTCTTTTCTACCCTCTTGAATTTTCATGAAATTTACACCAAAAATATATTTTAGGGTAGAAGGGTATATCTAACCTCTTTTCTAACCTCTTTTCTACCCTCTTGAATTTTCATGAAATTTACACCAAAAATATATTTTAGGGTAGAAGGGTATATCTAACCTCTTTTCTAACCTCTTTTCTACCCTCTTGAATTTTCATGAAATTTACACCAAAAATATACTACTAGGGTCATTTACGAAGAAGTCTTAACAAAGTCTTTACGAAGAAGTCTCAACAAAGTCTTTACGAAGAAGTCTTAACAAAGTCTTTACGAAGAAGTCTCAACAAAGTCTTTACGAAGAAGTCTTAACAAAGTCTTTACGAAGAAATTCATGAAAATTCAAGAGGTTAGAAAAGAGGTTAGAAAAGAGGTTAGATATACCCTTCTACCCTAAAATATATTTTTGGGTCATTTACACTCATTTACGAAGAAGTCTCAACAAAGTCTTTACGAAGAAGTCTCAAACAGTCTTTACGAAGAAGTCTTGACAAAACATTTACGAAGAAATTCATGAAAATTCAAGAGGGTAGAAAAGAGGTTAGAAAAGGGTTAGATATACCCTTCTACCCTAAAATATATTTTGGGTCATTTACACTCATTTACGAAGAAATCTCAACAAAGTCTTTACGAAGAAGTCACAATAAAACATCTGTCAAAAACCGCTTTTTAACTTCACTTAAAATGCCACGTAAGCTACGTAAGAATATACGTAAGAGGAAGGGAGCATTGAAACATCCAAAAGTAAAACTGACACCACAACAACAGTTGCAACAACAAATGCTGAATGACCCCACTATGTTGCAACAAATGTCAAGCAATCCTATGCTTTTAAACCGAGTTCTTGGTGCACAGAGTGGAGGTTTAAGAGCGGCACTTTTAGCGAAAATGGCAGGCTATGGTGGAGCTGCAGACGGAACAGCCTATAACCCTCAAAGTCAAATGAATTTGAGTTCACTCAAAAATCAAATAACAGATGTCAAAAGTCAACATAGACATACAGAAGCAAATAAGTGAAAACGAAAAGAAACTAGAATATGACAGACACACAAAGAAACTCAATGAGTTAAACGTAGAGAAAAAGAAGAAAGAAGAACAACTGAAAGAACTAAGTACAGAGGAATATGCGAAAAAAGTGTCAGAAAAAGCACAGAAGTAGCAAAAAATGGAACAAGATGTCATAAATTTGAAAAACCATACTACTCGATATAAAGTACTGAAAGATGAAGAAATAAAACAAAAAGCCCTGAAGACATATATGGATAGCGATGAGTATAAAAAGGAAGTTGAAGCAAATGTAAAGGCAGAAAAACTTTTACAGTTGCAAAACCAAACCGTACAGTATGAAAACTTAGCACAAGAAAGTAAAAATAACGACGCAGCCATGCAAAAGGCAATGAAAAGCGCAGAATATATAAAAGCTAACAATGACTGGTTAGATGCCCAAGCCAACGCTAAAGCAGCCCAGCTTATAGGGTCAATAAGGACAAAAATACAAGCGGATGAAGACAGTTCAAATGAAGCTTTAACGAATGCTGACTTTAAGAACGCCTTCGAAGCTCTTCATAGTAAGGTGAAACAAGTGAACGACTTCTCATCTGGAAAGAAACTGAAGTCTGAAGGTTTCGACAACGAGTTAAGAGAAGTAGCACAAAATATGACGAAAATAACAGATGCAGCAACGAGACAGGCAGTTCAAAGTGCCTATGACGCCGTTAGAGCAACTGTTGTGAAAAGTCAAGAAAAAGAGTTACAACAGACCAAAACAGACCTAGTAAATGCTTTCTTAAAAACGAAAAGTCAGGTAGGACATTACGCTGCAGATGGAACATATGTGCCAGCTGGTGGAACTTATATACCACCAAACCCTCCAAGAGAAGCACCTGCACCAGGACTACCTAAAACATTTACATCGTCACATGGACACAGACACAGGCATGCACCAAAACCAACACAACAACAACAACAACCAGCACAACAACCAACAGTTCAAAACACTGCACCACAACCAACAGTTCAAAACACTGCACCACAACAACCACAAACAGAGCAAGGACATAAAAGAAGTAGAGAACAAGGAAACCAAGAATTCTTAAAAATGCTTAAAGAAGAGTGTGGTTTCCCAGATAGTATTGACTTTAGTGACAGATATAAAGAAGCTATTGGAAAGTTCAAGGATGGAAATACTGACCCGAACCTATTTAGCTTTATGGCTCAGCACCAAAACGGATATAATCTCAAACCTGGAAAATACAAGCTCGCTAAGGGATATGATTTAATAGCATATCATCCAAATGACATGGATGAATTTACTCCGAGATATTTGATGTCAGAGCTAAATGACAATTCAACTTTCGTCATGAAACGCGTAAAAAATAGAGACGGAACGAAAGAACAAAAGCTTATGAATGCGGATGACGTAGATAGGGAAATTGTTGAAAACGGTCTCGGAATATATGAAATGCCAGCAGATGAGGTACAAGAAACTCCACAGGAAGAACTAGTTCAGATACAACCAGACATGGAAGAAATAGTTCAGCAACAACAGCTAGAAGAGCCTGAAGGAAACGAACAAGTCCTTCCTTTGGAAACTAACTTCACAGAACTAGATGAAGATTTGGAACAGCCGAAAAATCTTGACCCTCAACAAGAGCATGAGGTGAATATGGAATCTTTCCAAGAGTCTAAGAAAGATTCGGCTGACATAGTAGAAGAATATCGAAAAATGTTTGCCGACATACAAAAGACTCCAACATCAGATGAAAATATCCAGCATAGAATGGAAGAACTGAAAAAAAATGTACACAAATACAACAACCCTTTTTACTTACGAGCATTTAACGTTCAATCTTCGGATGAACTCGGTGAAAATAAAAGGTTAAATTTCAAGAAAACATATAGAAATGAAACATTGTTTAAAGTTCATTCAGAACCTAACCAAGATGGAAACAAACCTACTTTTGTTTCTGCAGACGATGGAACTACAATGAGATGGGGTCATAAAGCTAATCCGGATAGGTGGTTCATAAACTTACAACCTCAATTCCAAGAAGTTGTAGACGCAATGGAAGTCAATGGTGAACCAGATATAGCTGGTATTTTAAGCGCGGCTTTAATGCCATTGAAAGATATGAAACATGCAGATATTTTGGACCAGTATGAAATGAACATGGCTGATGGAAATATAACACCTGACGTTCTAGAACATTTATCTCAAAGAACTACACAGAACCATAAAGATGGTATATTTGGTGAAGAGTTTAGAAAGAAAGTTAGGGAGAGAGAAGGAAGAGAACCTATTGTACATGACCTTGCAAACGAAAGTTTACAAAATGTCATAAAAACTTACTTTGCAGACGATGAATCGAGAAGGGATGAATATTTAAGAAAACTCAAATGGACAGTACCAAATGAAATGTTAGTATTGAAAAAACATGTTCCTTGACAAAATAAAACCAACTACAGAAATAAACGACGCAAGACTGAAAGATTGGGTAAAAGCTTTCCCATTCACAAAAGATATAATTGGTAACATGGAAAGAAAACCAGAATGGCTACAAAAACATATATTTGGAAACGAGCTTATTCCATATGGACAGGCACTGTTTGAAGCGCTTGAACCGGAAACTCAGGAAAGAGTCATGCAAACAATACGCGAAGACTCAAATACAGACTATGACAAACTCTTTCTAGGATATAGGTTACCTGAGATGGGCGACCAGAGCCAAAAGGCAAAAAGGACATGGGAAATTTGCAACATACTAGATGAACATAATGCAAAGATGCAACAACTTCAAGCAGAGGGCAATGAAGGAAAAAGAAGAGTTAAAAACTCAGTCAGGAAGAAAGTAAAGCTTGGTCGGAGTGGGTTCTATTATGACATATAAATCCAACTATTCTATATTTTTACTCATATGAAATGTACGCCGCTCAGAATATAACGCCAACAGTTTTGGATGCCATGAATGGAAATGTTTCCGAATGGTATAACGAATGCGACAATGCCATTAGAAGGTCAGAAATAGTTCCTGGAACTTACGAATATACAACTGCTGTTTCTTATGGAAATGTAGGTGAGTTTGGAGAAGGTTCTTCAACAACAGTAGATATTGCTTGCGACAGGTTTCATATTATTTCTATTGACAACTCTTTCTTATACGTGGAACAAGACATTGAAATAAAACCTTCTGCCAAGTTGTCTGACAAGAAAGGTTGCAATGGAATTTTCTATGTCGGATACCAATATGCTCCAGAAGTTTTCATGGGATATAAGATATATTCTAACTCTGACTTAGTTCAAACAGTAACATGGGCAAACTATGAATGGTTCGCTTTGAGAAACTCAGTACAACCACAAGCTAGAGAACAAACAGACCAGTATGCAACTATTGAGAAAATAAGAAGACTTGACCCTAACGTTCCAGGAGTTTATGTTGACCTTTCTGGACAAACTGCAGCAGCAGTAACCAAAGTAAAACTGAAACTTAGAGTTCCTTTGTCATCTTTCCTCATCTTCAGGTTTTTAAGATACTTGCCAAACTGGGCAGGAAAAATTTCTATCGAACTTACTCCAAGCAAAATAACTTAGTCATTGCACCAACACAAGACCCATTCACTCTTACAGAAGTAGTGGGAACAAATAAAATGTCATTCGCCGACTTTTGCAAAAACAAAGTTGACTTAGACTTTGGTTTCTCAAACCTCAACACTGAAGTAAACTATTATTTCAATGCTGCTGGAGATGCTTGGGACCCAGTTAAGTTCACATGCGAAAAGTTTGAATGCAAGAGAATAGAAAGCAGACTTGCAGTCTATATGTTGGACCCAGATATTTCAAATGCTTTAGCTGCCAAATATATTGCAGTTCCACTTATGTTCCCTATACACCAAATATCTGTCAAAGACTTTGCAGGTGAAGTTGGAAACCAAAGTGCTGACCCAGGTGCAAGAACAGATATTGCTTTAACAACTGCAATGAAACATGCAGATACTATGTTTGTACTGTTCAGACGAACTATAAATGACTATTCTTGCTTCTACAACCCTGGTATTAAATACCATATAAACATAGATGGCAAATACTATCCAAGAGAAGAATATTCTACAGTTGAGGATATGAGGTCATACAACTTGACATTAGATGCTATGAACTTTAACAACAACTTCACAACAACCATTAACCCTGAAATGCAAAGTTCTATTATGCCATATGTGAAAGTATGGACTCATACAGGAGCTCAAAAAACTCAATATACAAATGGAGACCGTTTTTTTTGGCATTCCATTTGCTGACTCAGAAGACTTTATGGGTGGTATTTCAACTGTTGGTACAGTTCAAATACAATATACTGGTGACAGAGACGGTCCAGATGAATTGAAAGCAAAGAAGTTTACAAAACCAATAGCACTTTTCACGGAAGATGCTCTTTTGAAAATTCGTTCGATGAAACCTGCTGGGGCTCCTCAGATTGGTATAACGACAGCTTCCATCGAGCAGATTTTGGCAGCAGGTCAGTAAGTTGTTCTTGAACTGACTTCTCTCCGTCAAATATTGACAGTACGCCAGTTTTGACATAGTATTGTATTATAAACTTACCTTTAGAAATATCGGTCAGTTTTGTTGTTATATTTTTGTCTGCTTCAAGAACTTTCACCATCTCGGTTATACCAACTTTCTTTGCTTTATGAAAATATTTTGGTTCAGCAAAGACTGCTATTCTATAACATTTTCCATTGTTTGTATAAAGAACTATTCTGTCAATGTATTTGTATTGTTTGTGTGTGTAAACTTTGTTTTGCTTCAATTCGAAGAGATACTCAAATACGTCCATCTTTTTATTCTAAGTAAAATGTCATTTCCGAAAAATAGAAGCGTAAGTGTTTCAAAAGGTTTAATGGCGGTGGCAGATGTGAAGTTAAATTCACCAACTCAAACAAACAGTCAAAGTGTTGTTGTCAATGTCAAAGAAAGAGATGTTGAAGTGGGGAAACCATACGAAGACGAAGATGGTATAACAATAGTTCCTGTAAAAGAACAACCAACATATCCTGAAGTTAGCAGAGACTTAAGTTCTGTTGCAGATATTCGAAATGACTACAAACAACTGAAAGATAAACTTAAAACTCAGGAGAAGATTTGTCAAGCTTTAGGTATAATGTTAAACTTGGTTGAGCACAACCCTGTAAAAGTGAACTCATATGTCATCGCACCTCATGAAGTTTTGAAAGAACTATTGAAACTTTTGACAGAGGCAGACGATATAAACATCAAAGAAATAGAGCCCGACATTGCTTGCTGTGGTGTTTCATATAATGTCATTGACAAGATATACGTTATGAAAGGAGGTGAAACGTTGAACTTAAAATATAGTTTCCCAGACGTCATAAAAATATTTGACGACCACAACATTTCATTAAAATTTACTTGCTAAGTAAATGGCAGAAGACATAGTGGTTTATACTATTACGACTAAAAACCCTGAGTCATATAATTCTATAACAACAAACTTACAAAGTCCTCAAGGACGATATTGTAAACTGACCTTAAACACGATGACGACTAAAGCCTGTTTTGCTCTTTTGACACCAGAAGACTTTGTTGTTGTGAATGGTAAAAAATACTTCTTTGAAGATACTTACTCAGATATACCACCAACAGGTTTTGTTGACTTATTTAATACTTTAAGGACGGATGTAACATGTGCTGCAACTAGAGCAGGTTTCATTATGTTTGGATGTCCGACTGAGTTTAGTATAAACGATATGAGCTATAATACAAAACTTATATCTGGTTTTTACTACCAACAGTTTCCTATAACAGGAAAAGGTGTCATACAAGGTTTGTCTGTTCCATTGACTTTAAGTACACCTATTTTATATATTGTTTCAAACTTAGGTTCAAAGTGCTATTCGAATGTCGACAGAAACTACTATGACCAAAAGATACTCATGCGTATAAACAACACTTTCTCTGCTGGTTTGCCTATTGTTCATTCGAATGCAGAGTTTTCAGCTTTAGTAAACTCAAACACTTTGGCAAACATAAACTTGACATTAGTTGACGCAAACTTTGTTCCTGTAAAACTTTTATGTCCTATGTATTTGTCAATGACGGCAGAAAGTTTCGAATTGGAAGATGCAACTGGTGAAAGTATTGTACTACAAGAACAACTTCAACAACAAATAGCTCAAGAACAACAAATGCAACAAATGGAACAAATGCAACAACAAAGTCAAGAATAAAAAAAATATTTTTTTTATTTTTATAAAAATGTACAGAATAGACGTTTCAGATTTTTATGACTTCCAAGCGTTCAGAAATATGTGTCCATTTAGAGACTATAACAAAGCAGTCGAGAATTTGAAACGTTTAGTCATTTATGTCGACTCTGCCCCAGAATGTTATGTCATGAAAGAATGGGATGTTGTCTTTAACAAACCAAGAGCAACCATAGTTTCAGAACAAGAATGTAGACAGAAACTTAAGAAAATAAAAGTCGTACAAGTTGGTATGAAGATGTTAGATGCTTGGGATATCTTATTGTCAAAGTTAGAAGATTTTTCAGTTCGTGGTATAAAGTTCTATACACCTTCTCCAAACTTCTATTCTATCTTCACTGGATATAAATACGAACAAGTAGAATGGAAAGAAAATATTATAGAAGCTTGGTTAGACCATGTCAAAGAAATTATATGCAATGGAAACGAAAAGGTTTATGAGTATATCTTATGTTGGTTTGCAAACATCTTACAATATCCAAGTGCTAAAAATGAAACTGCTCTCATCATAATTGGAAAACAAGGAACTGGTAAGAACACTTTCTTTACAGATATCTTATGCAAACTGTTAGAGGGCTATTCGAACCCTAATATGACAAACTTAGAAAACATCTGCGGTAAATTTAACTCTTCAATAGAGAATATGAAACTTATAGTATGTAACGAACTTCAAAGTATAGATACAACAAAGGTTTTAAACTCAGATGCTTTGAAGAGTCTTATAACAGACAAAGTTGGAGTTGTTGAAAGAAAGTATAGAGACCAAAGAGTTTGTGAAAATGTTGCAAACTTCGTCATGGTTTCAAACAATGTTGTTCCGATGAAGTTAGAAAGTTCTGACAGAAGATATGTAGTTGTCAGAACGTCAGATTCTCATATGCAAGATACAGAATATTTTGACGACTTAGCAGAAACTTTGACACCTAACTTTTACAACCACTTGTTCTCATATTTCATGACATTAGATATTTCAAAGTTCAATCCAAGACAAATTCCACATACCGAAGAAAGACAAACATTGTTAGAAGCAAACAAGAGTGTATATGAACTGTTCATAGATGAGACTAACTTTGAGTGTTTAGATGAAAGGTCATTGTACGATTCATATAAACAATATTGTCAAGAGTATGGTTATATGGCAGCTTCTAAACGTACATTCTTGGCAAATGTCAAAAATCTTTTAGATATTCAGAACGGCGTATATACAAAGAAAAATTTTTCTGAGTAAATTTAAAAAAAATATTTTTTTATCCGATAGAAAAGATGATGAAATTCATCTCAGTCAACAAGTACATGACAGAAGTCAAAGAAGAACTAGACCCATTCGCTTATTTGAATGTTTACTTCTACCATTTTGAAAAGTCTACATTCAGCAAAGTTTGGAACATCGAACCAGTTAAGTTTGCTATTGTGACTAAAAATGGTGCGAAATTTGAAGACTTAGACATAGAAGGTTTGTTAGCAGTCAAAGAAAATTTTGACAGAAAGTTCTCAAAACTCGAAGAAGGCAAAGCATACAAACTTGTTATACCTTATGAACCAAAGAAAGCAGACGACTATGAATATTATGAGTCTAAGATAGTTGAAGTTCAAGGTAAATTGGGTAAAAAGATTTTAGAGTCTAAGCCAGTGTTTGCTCCTAAAGAGGAAGAGAACATTGACATTGACCCAGAAATGTTCTAAAAATAAAATTTTATTTTTACATGTCAAATTTCTTTTTCTCTGGAACTGGTTCAGGTTCTTTCTTCTCTTCTACTTTCTTTTCTTTCTTTTCTTTCTTTTCTCTCTTCTTCTTCTTTTCTGGTGGAGTTATGTCAAATTTCTCAGAACCATATTTATGTAAAAGTTCTTTGTCCTTTAATAGCTCTTCTATTCTGTTTTCTATTTCATCTTCAAGAACAGCGCATGTGCCTTCTTTGCATTCTAAGAACTTTTGTTGGACTTCATCTTTCCAATCGGCGTCATCTCTGTCAACAAGTCTGTCATTGACAAACTTAAAGACTTCTCTGCTTAATGTTTTATGGTTCTTGTCATATTCCCAGAAACAGAACTTTAGAACAAATTCACCTTTCTTGTTTACACTATGTAAGATTTTATGGTCGACAGATGTTTTGCTGTCGAAAAGCTTGTCTCGAATATAGATAGCGAAATCGCTAGACATTTCCTAAAAGATAAAAATTTTAATTTTTCTAAAAATATGTTAGAAAAAAAGTTTGCTGACATTGACAAAAAATTTGAGAATGTTTTAAATAAGAACAAGAGGAAGTTGGAAAATGCTCAGATAAAACCCATACATGACAAGTTCCTATTTGCTCAGAATGGTATAACAGGTCTAATTGCACCGCCTGGGTCGGGTAAGACTTTCACTTATCTTAAAATGGCTGCACAACAACAAGAACTAGATGAGAAGAACCCATTCTATGAGTTAGTTGTCATTTGTAGTACTTCTGGTCAATTTGACCAAACCGTCAATTCGTTCAAAGATATTATAAAGAAGTCTAAGTTAGTATGTATAAAGGATACTGAGTTGTTAGATTGGATAAAGAAGTACCAAAGAAGAGTTTTGAAGTATAATGCTATAAATGAGTATATAAATTCGAGGTTTAAAGACCCAAATGAGGAAATGCAGAGAATATTAGACAAACACCACTTCAGAAACAAACAGAAAGAGATAGAATACATTTCGAAGAAATTGCAATCTTACGATTGGAAGACATACCCTCACAGATGTCTTCTTATCTTAGATGATTTCGCCTCTCATCCTTTGTTAAAGAATAGAGAACAAGATATGTGTCGAATTCTTAAGAAGCTCAGACACTTTAACATCTCAGTTGTCATTTGTGTACAGACAGCAAAGAGTTTAAGTAAGGATGTAAAGAGAATACTTACTGATATCATACTTTTCCCTGGATTGTCCGAAGACGATTTCATGGAACTTATGAAAGAGTCCATGGCAGGTAAGTTTGACAGACATGAACTATGGGAGAAGTATAAAGTCATACAAGACCCTCATACTTCTTTCAGAATTCATATCTACGCAAACAAAGTTCAAATTGTAAAAAGTCAAGCTTGAAAAATGTAAGTGTTTTAGTCTTAGTCTGTTGTGGTGCTGGGGCTGTCGGTTCTTCTGGTTTGGGAATGGACTCGGTTGGTGGTACGTCGGACATTCGTTTGTGTCCTGTTGGATGGAAGAACTTTTCCTGTTGGATGGAAGGACTCGGAATGTCGGAAGGAAGGACTCGGAATGTCGGAAGGAAAAACTCGGAATGTCGGAAGGAAAAACTTTTTCTGAAGTTCGACCAAAAAGTTCTCAATTTTCGAAAATTTGAATGGTTTACGGACGAACAACAGGAAATTTTTTTCCAGTTGTCAGGAAATTTTTTTCCTGTTGGAAGGAAATTTTTTTCCTGTTGGAAGGAAGGACTCGGAATGCCAGAAGGATTTGACGAGGCAATTGACCTTATAGAGCTACCTGAGCCATCTTTGGTGTCAAGCTTGAAAAATAAAGAGTTCATTTACTCTGCTTGTTTGAAGTTGTCAAAATACTCTGTTATCTTTTCCTTCAGTAGCGGTAAATCTTCTTTGAATGTAAGTATTGTACAACCTTTCATATCATAGTGTGTTTGAGGTAACGTATCTTGAACTATCTGTTTAACATCTTCATTTGGTGTCATTGAAATCGGTAAGTTTTCGCGATAGAACCAATTTCTGTCAGATTTGTAAATCTTAGCTAAGTCGTAAAAGCTTTTGTTGTTTCTTCTGACTAAATGCAACATAACCATATCTCTGTCTTCTTCATTTTCCATCTCTTCAGTGTAAATCATATACTTATAGTTCTTTTCCTTTCCTTTTGGTACCGAACGTGGTATTCTTTTCTGTATGTTTTTGTCTTTTGCTTCAAGCTTGTTTTCCATCTCTTCACGTTCTTGTCTATGAATTTCGTCAAGAAGTTTACAAACATACCAAGCATAACGAGGCGAAGCCCACATTGCAACAGCATTTACAAGAAGTCTATGTACATACCAACCTCTCAAACCGTTTGGCAATTTTTCACGATTTTCATGAGTTTTAGGCGAGTAAGATTTTTTACTTACTCGCTGTTCTTCACTGTTTTCAGAAAAAAGTATGTCTCGCTGTGCTTCGCTCAAAAATT